CGATCCAGACGTGCACCCAGAGATTCTTCAAGAAGCCAGAGTCCGCGTCGGAAATACTTTGTGCAACGAAGAGTTGGCCTTCCGGCGCAAGCGGCAACAGCGCGCTGTAAAGGCATTGGCTTCGTACTTGAATATTCCTGAGCAGGATATTCATCCGGATGACGTTCCTATCATTGCGATGTGCGGTTCGGGAGGTGGTCTGCGCGCCCTCGTGGCCGGCACTGGCTCGTATCTTGCTGCTCAGGAAGTGGGATTGTGGGACTGTGTCACCTACACCGCTGGCGTCAGTGGCAGTTGTTGGCTGCAGACTTTATATCATTCATCGATTACTGGTCGGAATTACAATCGGTTGGTCGATCATCTGAAGAACAGACTTGGGGTGCACATAGCGTTCCCACCCAAGGCTCTCAATCTGCTCACAACTGCACCTACCAATAAGTATCTGCTCAGCGGACTGGTTGAGAAATTGAAAGGCGACCCCGGCGCGGATTTTGGGTTGGTCGATATCTATGGCATGCTACTGGCCGCGAGACTTTTAGTCCCCAAAGGAGAACTTGGAGTCTCTCACCAAGATTTGAAGTTGTCTAACCAGAGGTATAATCTCTACGATGGTGCTCACCCAATGCCTATATATACAGCTGTTCGCCACGAGATCCCGGTGCTAGAAGCTGTGGAAGATGAAGAATCGAAGAAGGAAATGACACCCGAGAAGCTTATTAAGGCGTCACAGAGCGAAGCATGGTTTCAGTGGTTCGAGTTTACCCCCTTTGAATTTTTTTGCGAGGAGCTTGGTGCAGGTATCCCCACCTGGGCTTTGGGGAGGCATTTCAATGGTGGTCACAACGTGATACCCCATGGGGGATATCCATTGCCTGAGATGCGTGTTCCGGGATTAATGGGCGTGTGGGGTAGTGCTTTCTGCGCGACGCTATCTCATTACTATAAGGAGGTTCGACCGCTACTGCGAGGCATAGTAGGCTTCGGCGGCATAGACTCTTTAATCCAAGGAAAGTCAAAAGACCTGGTCCGTGTCCATCCGATCGACCCTGCGACCATTCCCAATTACGTATTAGGCATGAAAGGTCAATTACCGCCTTCTTGCCCGGAATCCATCTTCCAGAGCGAGCATCTCCGGCTCATGGATGCGGGAATGAGCAACAACCTGCCCATTTACCCTCTTCTAAGGCCAGGCAGAGATGTCGATATAATTGTCGCCTTTGACGCCTCGGCTGACATCAAGCAAGAGAACTGGCTTTCGGTCGTGGATGGATATGCCCGTCAACGAGGCATCAAGGGGTGGCCACTTGGAGCGGGCTGGCCCAAAGAAGATACCGGGCTGAAGGAGACAGAAGAGAAGTTGCGGGAGCCGCAGAATATCACGCAAGATGCGGTGGACGAGAAGATGTCTGACGCACTGCGAAACGGTCCCAACGGCCATGAAGACAGAGTGGGCAAATCGAACCCCATGGAGACTCCCAAAGGATCCAAAGCCGGCGACGACCGACCATCACTCCAAGATACTGATCTAGGCTACTGCAATGTGTGGATCGGCACAAAGCAAGAAAGGGTGTCCGACAAGGAACCACCACCGTCGAAGCGGTTATTCCATCCCCATAACGGAGATGATTCGGAAGTGGACTTCCATCTCATGCATCCCGACGCAGGCATCGCCGTCGTCTACTTCCCCCTGCTGCCCAACCCCACCGCCCCGGAGCTGCCTCCGAGCTCCTCGATGTCCAAACAGCCGGTCCCCGCGCAGCAGTCAGAGACGACGTCTTCTGCAAACGTCAAGGACCCGGTACGCCCTTTGACGCCGTACCCCAGTACGATTAACCCAGAAGTGGACGATTTTCTGTCCACTTGGAACTTTGTTTACACCCCTGAACAGATCGACTCGGTGATTGGGCTTGCCAAAGCGAACTTTGCGCAAGGCGAAGAACAAGTGAAGCGTGTCGTGCGGGGAGTTTACGAGCGCAAGAAATCCGACAGACTTCGACGGGAGGAACGGGCGCATAGGGGACGGATGGAAGGGTTTGTGCCCATTTGACCTGGATTCGTCGGTGTTCGCATCAATATATTTGGCGGTTGAGATGGCGATGTAAGAATAGTTTGTTAGACTACGATGTGGAGTAATATTGGGATAAAGATTGGTGTTTAAAGATTCACATTTGGGCTTGATTATACTATCGCAACAGACAAATATGCGATACGAACATATAGAGGAAATGATGAACAAGCGTGGTTATCTATCGCGCACTCCTCGTAGAATCAGCATCGCCGGAATGGTGCTCGGAATCGTCACCATTGTTTCCAAAATATGGCCGGACGCCTTCGAAATCCCCATTCTCATCTACCTTGGGTGTACCCGGCTTCGATTGTCCTGATTCCACTTCGCTCTCCGCAAGACTGACGTCCTTACTGTCATCGGTCTGCTTCCGCAGCCCTAGCTCCTTGCTGAGCTCGTGCATCGAGTGCGCAGTCGCCGATACCGCAGTAGCAGCCGCCGTACTGACGCTAGTGAGCAACGGATGGTCTGTCGCGCTCGTAAGCCCCTTGGTTCCGGTGTCGACCTCCGCGATGCGCGTGGGAATGTTCTCCTGCTCCTGGAGGAGACGGTCCTGCTCGTGCTCGTCGGCTGCGACTGTTTCCTGGCCGCGCCAGTCGGCCGGGTGGCTCTCGCGGATCGGCTCGCCAGGTTTGGGCTCCATGATGGTTTGCGCCATGATAGCGGTATCCTCCTTCCCGGGCTCGCAGATGCCGAAGCGGGAAGGTGGTGCGTACCGCCAGACAACCTTGAGGCGGTCGAGCGCTTTGACGCCCCGTTTGGAGGTCCCCTTGATCCCGTCCAAGGACTCCCAGTCTGCCTCGAAGACGCCCGAGTCGTGCTTGTCGCCGCCTTCGAAGTAGGCATTGAACCAGACGTGCGCGATGGAGGTCACCATTGCCCAGCCGGTGTAGGCGGCTTTGCTGCGCCGTTCGAAGTCGATGTTCACGTCGGAGGAGGGAACGATGACAGGTGTGCTGGGGCGGAGAATGGCAGCGGAGATGCGTCCTTGGGGAGCAGCACTGAGTCCTTTAGCTCCTGATGCTAGGGGCGCGGTGACGGTGGGCTTGGGGGAAGAAGTGGAAGCGATGGTGCTTGGCCATGTAGAAGCCTTGGAATCGGGTACGGCCGAGTCGGTGGTCATATCTGTTTTGCTGCTAGTACTGCTCTCGCTGCCATTTTGGGTATTCTTCGCTGGAAAGATGGCCTTGCCATCGTCAACGACCGTCCGTTCGCTCCGACGGAACAAGTGGAAACACTTGATCTTCTTGCCCTCGTCGACATAACCCTGAATGGCAACTTTGACTCCATCTCTCAGGCCCCAAACATGCAGCTCGAGGATCTCAACCGGCCGCTCAACGTACTTCTTGTCCATCTGGTTTGCCCACCGGTCGACGTATCCCACCCAGCGCAGTTGGCTGGGGATACTCACCCCAGGCCCGAATCCTACTCTCATCCGCCTCGCGGTGAACCGCTCAAGGGCATCTTTCATCTTCCATCCCTCTTGGCTAATCAGGTAGCTGCACGCGATGGTCCCACTGCGTCCTTTACCGGCTTTGCAGTGCACAACGGCCACCCTCTTCCCTTCAGCAGGCTGTGACTTCACATCGCCATCTGGATCATCTAGTCTATGCAGCCAATTCCTCATGCTTCCCATGATTGCTGGGATGAGCGCAAACGGCGGCGGATGATGATCCGGCCATGGGTAATGGTGGATTCGTCCATAGACCTCCGAGTCAGGATATCCAGTGCCCTCAGCTCGAAATTCCCAAATCCACCAGTCCTTGCCATGCTTGGCGTCGAGGAAGTTCACCAAAGCATCGAGAGGATTCCGATATGCACGTTGCGGGTAGGTAGATGACGGCCCTGAGGTTGCAATGACTATGCGCAAAGAATATGCGTCAGTGGAGCCCACTGAATAATAGGAAGAACAAGTCGAGACATCACTACTAGGAACGGACAGAACGCTCACGGTTGTCTGTGACGTAGCAGAGGTCCAGGCCGGCCTCAGGATGTCTTAATCTGGGACCAGCAACAATCTGCCGGAGGATGGACGCCTGCATCAATCAAGGAGCCGAGCATTGTTGGTCAGTCTCAGCAAGAAGGCAAACAAGTTGCTGGATCTAGGGATGGGAGAAAGGGGCAAAGCATAGAGACGTACCATTGATTTCAAGTGCCGTGAAGCAGCTGTATCTCTTTCGTGAGTAGATTCTTGGAAGACCTTTCAAAAAGGTTATCTTACCATTTGAAAGACCTTGTTCTTGTTGAGGCTCTCAGTTTCCCAGGTTCAGCGGAGAAGGTTGCAGCTGATGCTAATCGAACACGCAGAGTCCAGATCTTCTGATCAGTCGTCAAATGGAATATGCAATTACTGCAGACTGATCATTTGATGTTATCAATTAGATATCTAGAGCGATCTGAATATTCCTCACAAGAGAAAAATGACACGACGACCTTGGAAATAGTGATACTTGATAAGCAGGGCAACTTGGGGGTGATTTTGCGGACAACGCGGGGATGATGTCACAGTCCCCAGAGCGGCAACCTGATTGTTTACAGTTTACCTAGAGTTACAGTGACATGCACATGGGAAGAGAAATAATGAGTATTAAAGAAGAGTTATAATTTCTCCGTTTCTTTTTCTCGTGCTAGTCTATTAGGTACAAGAGAACAGAAACACACTGAGTTCGATCCTGATATCTCATCACAAAAATGCAGATGCTAGGTATGGGGAATATCCTGATGACATGCGGTTCATCATTAAGTCGACAGTAGCAGAAACAGACCAATTTTCATATCAATGGTATAGATCCTAGTTTGTACATCGTTTCTTGACCCTCATATCGCCAGTGTTAGGGCCGTTATCGCGGATCAACGCGATCAACAGGTTCCATCAAAAGCCTGACTCTTCAGATCAGGCTATCTCGTGATCAAGTATAGAGGCGCCATTGTCAGCTCAAGCAGCACCATATGTATCCGTCACAGGAATAGTAAAGTTCCTCATAGTAGATGTGACGTTGGCCGAACCCTCGGCGTAGAATTCGGCTCCAGGTTTGAACCAAGCGTGCATGACCTCGACCTTCCATCCGCGAGGCTTCAAAGCTGTTACTTTAGCTTTGATGTGTTTGTCTCTGCAAAAGCTGTAGTCTGTCTCCACGTCGGTGCCGTTGCACGTAGTGTTGAACCCGGGAGTGTTTGGAGTAGTGATACCCATAATATCGAATCGATAGTCACAAGCCTCAGGAGAGCAGCCAGTATAAAAGTTGGAGACATGCCAGGTCAGGGCAGGGTTCACGGTGTGGTAGTGATAGGTGGGAGCTGCAACGGTTATGTCGAAGATAGACAGGAGCGCGACCAGCAGGAATGTAGCAAACTGCATGTTGACGTGATTGATCGCGGTATGAAATTGTAGATAAAGAAGAGGTGACTGAGGAATATATATGTGCAGGAGATATATACACCGGCAAGACAGATATTAAGTATTAGATTAAATCAACAGAAAGCACACGACCCATCGAGGACTTTATTATGAAGAATGAATGAAGAGTGAAAGAAGAGGACGAAGGGTGCTGAAGAGACGAGGACGTGATCGAGAATGTCTGCGACTCATATATCGCCAAACAAGTCCTAGGGCAGGCAAGCATGGGAGAGACCTGCTTCTGGCCTGCAGGTACGGGTGGAGCAGAGTTTCCAGCGCCCTAAAGTTGTCAGTCAATTAGAATCAAAAACATCACCTAGGTTTCCAACCGCGGATGTCGATCTCCTGCAAATCTGTGAGGTGCGCGAAGCTGTGTCACTGGGTGTCTCGCTGGTTTCTAATTATAATCAGCAGGAGAACCCGCGTCGCAGGTGTAACCAAGTACCGAGAACCAAAAGAGACCAATGTCTGCCGTGCGATGAATCAATTGCAACCCCATTGTCGTCTCAACATCGGATCATCAGACGATGGACTGACTTGACACGCTTACTCCGACGATCGCAAACCGAGGATCCATATATAGTTCGGCACCGTCACGGTCCGGTGTTTGAGACGTTCCTCCGCCCCTTGAATAGCTACTCGGATAAGGACTGCTCCGTAAAGCATGAACTATGAAGGAGTGGTGCAGTGAACCATAGTTCAAAACGTCGACTAAGGTTTGATCGCAAGGATGTAAGTTCTCGGAGCTTATGTTGGCCTGCACTCATMCTGGACCCCAGTATTGTATGCAGTGTCGCATTGGGTCGTTGCATAATTTCACAAGGGATCAGCATCATTCAACATAGCTATCGCGACCGAACCAGCGACCATGTTGAGCGACTTCTGAATGTGCCCCATATCTATCCTCTGGGTTCGCTCCTGTTGATCATGGTGAGACTTTCGACTAGGAGTTCGAAGTTCGAACCGAAGTTTGGGTGTTTGACCACCGATTCTTGGCTTGAACAAGGGTCAATGCACTGGGGGTTTCACTAAATGTTTAGGCTATATCGTTGATGTTCCATTGTGTCTCACTCAGACTCAGCGGTTCTACTCCCCACAACCACATCTACAGTGGGGGTTCAAAAGTATTTGATCCCTTCAGTGATACTAGCGGGTTCCGGGGGGTCAAATACTTTTGAACCCCCACTGTAGTCATGGCTAAAATATCTGATGGTTGAACACCATGGAAAGTAACGATCATGAGCAACGCTTGGGGCCGCCGCCGACCCGCTGAGAGGTGACAAATCTGCTACTCAAAAGACAATTCTAGTGGAGGTATCATTTCCCATTTCCTCGTATTCGACGGGTATACAACTGTACTATACAAGGTATAAATTGTGATACATATACAACTGGACGACAGGGTGCCTTTTTCAGCCCCTTGTCTCCAAATTTACCTGGGTTGCGTCTCATCGGGCTTCAACTGATCTTCCGGCACAAGGCCCCCTGGCTCATAGTCCATCCAGCCCTCCTCTTCTTGGGCCCTGGCCATCGCCAAGCGTCTTCGCTTCCTCTTTCGTCTCTCCTTGCTCGCCGCTCGACGGGCTTCCTTGGAGAGAAGCACCCGCATGGGAGGCTCACGCATGCGACGCTCGGAGCGGTCTGCATATCTTGGAGGCGTCTCGGACCCTATCTTCCTGATAGAAACCGGCTGATCTGAAGCTCGTTCACTGCGCTCAACGAGACCGTCGGCTGAGTCATCCTGCATCTGCGGATCGTTTCTCAATTGAAGCGCAAATTGATCGTTGGACTCGGAGCATACGCTCTTGATCTGTTGGCGCGTGTATGCATTGGGACGGAAACCCCGCGCGACCAAATCCTGGTAGTACCTGTACGCCGATTCAAAATTGCCAGCATCTAAGCACATCATGATCAGGTGTTCAAAAGTTTTGTCGTTCGGGATCACTCCAAGCGAGGACATCTCCTTTACCGCAAACATGCCGGCTTGAATGTTTTTTGCTCTGCGAGCCATCCCTATAAGGGTGTTGTAGATCGAAACGTCGGCCTTGCCTGGACACAAAGTGTAGAGCTCCTGATAGAGCGAGATCCCTTCATCAACCGCAAATGGGTCATTAAAGGATTCATAGTCACAAAGTTCGATGACCACATGCGCGCATTCCATCGGAATCGGGTACTTCAAGGATTTCAGCTTCTTGAGAATAGCCCATGCCTGCCGTGGACTAGTCCTCGTCTGAACCATGTAGTTGAAAATGGCCCGCGTCGAAGTGTGTTCCAATTTGATTCCGGCTTTGTGCATCTTACAGAGAATCTCGAATGCCGATGAGAGCTTGCCAGACTTGACATGCGCCTCTACGGTCTTCTCGTAATCCTGCAAGATCAGGGGGACATCACTTTCCGAAAGAAACCGGATAACTAAAGAAGCGAGCTTAGTGTCGCCCTTTTCGGCCGCGACCGTCAGAGTGTCCCTACACAGGACCTTCGAAGGATGGAGATACCCCAGTTGTACCATTTGCGTCCATATGTATCGGGTAGTTTCGAGATGAGCTGCCGCGACTGCGACATCCAACACATACAGCCACAGTTCCGTCGTCATGTCATGACCCTGACTTGTCCGCTTGCGCATCTGCCGGAGGACTTCGTCGAAATCATGAATGTCGCAGAGGTTGTATATCAACAGACTGTGTAGCCAATTCTCGACCATAATTTCCTTCCGCTCCATGTGCGCGATATGGTCTAGTGCGAGTTCGAATTGGTTTTCTCTCAAGAGGCCGGCCACCACGTAGTGCCAACCAGCGGGACTAAGAGGCAGCCATCGATCTCGGAGGGTGCGCAGTATTTCTTGACGCAGTAGGTAGTCAGGATGAACGGCGAGAACCTATGATGATTGTCCGTGTAAGTCAAGGAACCCTTATTCGTAGAGCTATGCCTTTAGACAATGAGATGCCATACCTGCAACGCAGCATGAAGTGTACCGGAATCTGCAGGTATCCCATTCTTCTCCATCTCCGAGAGTAATTGGCGAACAACTTCCGGCGAGCCACGCTCCGCATCAGAGTTGGCAAGAATCAGCGCTCTGTAGTGTCGTACTTCGGGGCGCACATGGCGATCTCTGATCAGTATTCGTAATATCTGCGACGCGCTGAGGATTTTAGGACTTCCAGTTGCTAGTTCTTGAAGTCGATTCTCAAGGTCCGCCGTTGACCGCTCTTCGAGATTTTTGGGAACGCCGGGAGACGGAGGTAGGGTAATGTTGGGGCTGAGAGGCGGTCTGATATGTTCCCGGCACTCAGAATTCAATTGAGATTGTTGCGAAGACTGCTGTGCTACTGAGGATTCGCCGTGGCCATCGCCCTGGCGTTCAGTGCCTTTCTGCGCCTTTGGCTCCTCACTAGCTTTTGTAGCATCGCTGTTCAGACATCTTCGCGGAGCAGTGCCGATTGCCGATGAGAAATCATGTCTTTGTGGCCTTTTCCCTCTCGTGAATGGCAGCCTGATATGTGACGCACTGATCCGAAATGATGGACATAGACAATACCAGAGTCCATCGAGAATGACCGTACTTCGGCGCATCTCGAGCCCATGCAAAGCGGAGTTCTCTTTGCGCATCGGGAAGCCGAAGAAGAGAAGCACACTCACGTGACTTGTGACAACGTCAGAGAAATACCCAAAATTTATAGGTAACCAGGACAGATGGGGTTGATATAAATGTTTTGATAAATTTTTGTACTTTACGGATATAATTTACTAAGTGACCAAGTTCAAGAGCAGTAATCCCATTGAAGAAAAAAAGCCACCGAGCCAGATACGCCAAGGCCATGCTCGACAAACCCACCAACTGGTCCTTCCTAGCAATTTACATGCTTGATCTCCCCGGGGTATCGATCATTCTCTCTTCGTCTCATTATGCGCATGTAATATCCATCTAGCTGCCGCCACGACCCCGGCCGCGACCTCGGCCACCACGACCACCACCACGGCCTCTGTCGCCCCTGCCCTCACGGCCACCGCGATTGCGATTCTGCGGCTGGTTCTGCTGCTGTTCCTTGACCATCTCCACAATTTCCTCGGGAATTCGCAAGTATTTGATCTAGACGCTCGTTAGCTCGGAATGAGAGCACATCGAAGTAGCATGTAGGCAACATACATTGTTTCCTCGCACGTAGACCTCTGGTAACCTGAAGAAGCGGTCGCCTTCGGGGCTAGTCTGAACAACCTCCTTGAGTATTAAGTTCATCCAGTTATCGCAGTTGGCAAGATGTCCGTTCAGCGTCTCGCCGTTCTTGAGCTCCACAAGCATGGGGTGGCCTTGCGCGGCCGTCAGAAGACCCAATGGTAACTATGAGGTGCGCGATATCTTAGCGACACGAGATGTAAAATGCATGGAGCAATAACCATGTTCCGTGGGGAGTTTACTCACCATTGTGAGGTTGGGCAGATGTGATGAGGAATAGCCTGGAGCGCCTGTCCTGGTTAATGAAATAAGAAAAGGGTAATTGGAAAAGACAGTCAATGATATTCCTGATACAGGATCAGGACTTAGAGAGAAGTTATATGATATGTCCAAGGATATCAAATAAGCTCCACATGAGCTTCCAAGCGGCGGGTGGTCGCAACTGCAGAGACCCGGAGAAAGTGAAGTTCCGAGATTTGCGGTTGAGTATGACCACAGTTGGAGGCTCGTATTATTATTGTTTCCGTTCTTGACCCTCTTCTATCCCATACACTGTATCTTCAATGGGTCATTCAAATCGCTCAGCATATACAATTATAGTTGACCGGCACGGTCTGTACACCACACGGTGGCAGATCCTGGAATCACCGTTGGCCTCCAATCAGCGGCTTCGAGTGAACTTGAGCGATTGTAAGTAGATACGATCACATACATTTGTGTAGAACAACGAATTTCAAGTCCTCAATTGGTAAAATACATAGAAAGGACGTTGTGCAGTGTCTCAATACGAACTGCACCGTCAAGACATTGTCATCCGCCTCTACACTTTTGTTCGCTTGGCTGTATCTGACTCCTCAACCTCGTCCTCGTCGTCCTCCACCGTGAACTTTCGCTTGACCCGTTGATCTCTGCTAGTCCCGCTGGGTCCAGCGCTCGCGTCATCTGAAATTTCGGCACCTGGCGACTGTTCTTTCCCACTGGCCTTGAGTTTCTCTTCACGCTCAGTGAATTCTTTCAAAAGAACTTCGTAGCCTTCTTCAACATTTGACACTGTCTCTTCGAGTTTCTGGATGCGCTCATCAAGATCCAGTTGGATCAGGATGTCCTTGGATCGTTTGTATAGGCGCTGCTTGGTGAGCATGCGCCACCAGTAGTAGCGCCGTTCGTTAGGATCCTCCGCCCTGTGCTTCTTAATCAGGAGCCGCGACATGTTTGCTCCGCCGGCATGTCTATTTTTGAGAGGGATCTGACTCAACAGGAACATTTCGAGAATGTGAGCAAACTGCGTAGAATCAATCTTGTATGATGTACGAATGTCATGGAGGAGTTTGACTGGAATGAGGGCGGCCGTAGGAACACGTCGTGGTCGTTGGTTTCTTGAGTGCGCCTCGTAGGGATCGGGGTTGATGTTCACCTCGTGCTTGACGAATTCAGGACGCAGTATGTGGTAGTCCGCAGAGTCGCGGAGAACATCAAAGGCTTCGTTCGGATCTTCGACGGTCAATTCAACAACAGTGGGGTCCTGTACGCAAGCCGAATGGATGGTGGTATACAAGTGCCTGCCATGTCCTGATTTCTGATGAGGAGGGAGGATAAGGAACTGGGCGATACGCAGACGCGATGGGAGCTGTGAAGGATGAATCTCCGGTCCAGAGGGAAAGGGATCGTCCTTGACAACGGGGATTTGTGTCTTGTCCCTGCGGTAATGCCACCAGCGATACGTTGTCGCATATCCGACGATGGAGTATTCGGAAGCAGTGGGTGTTGGAGGTTTCACTTTCTCGTATCTGTAGGGGACTCATCAGCGCATGGGTCATCACGTCATGGGACAGTAGATCCACATACACGAAGTAGACAGTCCATCTTTGCAGCGTCCACTCGGGATCATCTGTGGCAAGAGGGGTGCCTGCCTCGATGAAGAGCGACACAAAGATTTGAGCACGATCCAGCAACCGTCGAACATTAGGGTCAGCCAGCGAGCCGGCCCAGATCTCATAGTTTCTATTCCGAGTAACATAGCTGTGTACCAACTTGCCCGGGGGTTTGAAATCTTTCGCGTCTTTATCCTCTAGCACGGCCTTCTCGTAGTCGGGGAGGGTGACAAAGGCCTCTACAAGTTGATGTCTTGATTAGAAAGAAACGGAGCAATATTACTGGGTGATACCAACCTTCTGAGATCCATGGTCTCAAAGTCTTCAGAATATCGACTGCCGCAATGTCCTCAACGGGCTTGAATTTCTCATCGTACGAGATGTGAAGGTGTGGGCGGAGGTCATGCGCCGCGAACCGTAGACGGATAATCAAGCCCTTGTAACCGAAGATGCGCTCATCATCGCCGAAGATGGGGTATGTGAATTGAGGATGAAAGCTAGAGGCAGTCTTCAGCTTCTGTTGGTCGGGCTGGACTATGGTGATGTTGACGGCGTCGTTCGCATCGCACGTCCCTGGAAGAATGCATCTCACGATCAGCTGGATCCAGGACAGTGAGGAAAAGAGTTGACAAGGAATGGGGTGGGAAAATACATTCGCCTTCGTTTTCCATACTGAGACGCTATGGACGGATGACAGGAAATGTTATGGCAATAGGGAGGAAGACCGGAGCTGAAGATATTCTCTCGTCCTTCTTCTCGGCGCGTGTTGAGGATGATCGCGTTGCGCGGAGAGCTTAGCAGGTATAACCTTTCTAGGATTAGCGCCATTGAGAGCTGTTGCTTAGTGTTACCCGTCCATCTACGGAGCATTATGAAGCTGCAGCTAGATGCATAGGATTGGTAGATTTTCGAACGGCACTCTTTACTGATAACTATCAATTTAGTCATTTCAGCTAATTGAGCCTTGCTTCCATAAGTAATGTATGATAACCCATTGTCTTATAGGTTGCTCAGGTACCCTCGCTCAAAGGCTGTGTTTATGGCAAGGGGAACAATGCCTCCTGCTCGAACGTGAAATTGAGAGGTAATATCGCGATAGATTTCCGAGCTCTTTTGGCCAGTGAATCAGCTGCCACATTTCCTGGGACGCTGTTGTGCCCTGGAACCCACCGCACCTCAAGCCGAATACCCAGTTTGTATAGCAGCAATGCTGCTTTGATGAATGACGATACTATATTTTCTGCAGTTCTTGTCGCATAGGGAAACTTCGAAATCTCCGTCAATGCTGCTTGAGAATCACTGAAGATTGTCATTTTCCTCCAATGGTTGCGCTTTTGGGCAATCTCCGCAGCCACGTCGAGCGCTGCTTTGATTGCGAAGAGCTCGGCTGAGTTAGACGAGTGGACTCGTGCAAGACCGAAAGCTCTAAACTTCCATTCTTTCTTGTTAGGCCATCTCTTGTACACCACAGCAGCCGCAGCAGAGATTCTTTTGGTTGGGTTAGCTGAAGTCTGAGGATGAGTCCTTGCAAAGGAGCTGTCTACCCAGAAAACACACGAGTCCTGAAATTCTCGCGCAGGTCGCAGCCCGGATGCTAATAGCGCATACTCTCGGGCGTATCCGCGCTCCTGTATCACGATATCCCCGCGAAATCTGCAATGCAAGGGGACGTACAGTTGGAGTCCTTCGCCGTCTCTGAGATAGTTCTCATACTGGGCCGGTAGAGATGATTCTTGCTGAGTAGTAACCCGGTTAGGTTCATCTGATTGAGGGCTAGCGATGGTCTCAGACGCCGATTTAGCAAGAGCTTGAACTTGTTCGGTTTGTTGAACAATCAGAGTCAGGTACTGAGCTACCGGTTCCATCTTCAAGAATTCAGCAGATTCGTATGCAAGGTCGTTCCTTGAAGAAGAGGTAATGTAGTTCCAAGTTAGCTGCCTAAGTAATACTATCGGGGTGACAGGAGTCAGCGAAGAGGATACCATGGTTAAGTGCACGGTGCAGCGATAGTGTGCTGGTAACCATTGTATCATACAACCGCACACACGAATCTGTCTGTTTATCAGCCATCATCATCCAAGAGCAAGGAATGCCCTGAGAGTCTTGAATTGAGAAGGTCTTGTTCTACGCCGACCTGGAACTGGATCCGCTCCAGTGCCACAGACGCCTTCTTCAGCTCCGATAACTGTCAAAATTTATCTATATCACCGTAACTCTGATATATAACCCCTCGGCGATGGAGTACACCGTCCAGGCATCTTTTCAGTCTAGCGTTATTGAATTTTGATAATAACTATCTATTCGATTCGCAACCAAAAGATGGCCCATTACCGAAGCATGCAGCCCAGTCGGGGTACAAGCTACTCTGATTCAAGTGACCCGACAACGAATGTCAACCATTTCGTGGAGATGCCCGGGGAAGTACGCGCCACTCTGAACAGCTACGTACCCCTAGATGCGGACGATGAGACCGTGAAGCTCCTTCGGGAAACGTTCAGGTACCTTCCATCAGATGGTAGAGTTAACCTTGCCGAGGATATCATTCAGGCTGGGGCGGGCAATAAGTTGCAGCAACTTGCCCAGAGTATCGTTTCAGGCCTTCTCAAACCGATGATGGTTGCCGGTGCTAAGAAGATGGAGATACCGCGGTTGGGCATTGAAGAATGTCTTGCCAACAAGACGGACGGGCACGAGTCGATGAGGCGTGCCCGACAGCTCCAAGAGGATGCGCTTCGCAGAGATGGCAATAAATGCGTTGTATCGGGCCATTACGATGTTCTATCAGAGGAGTTATATCCCGACGAAACTACTGCCGACCTAGAAACTGCATATATTGTGCCATTTGCTCTATCCAAGTTCAACAATGAATATGAAAAACAGCAAATAATAGCTGTTTGGACGAACATTTTTCGTTATTTCCCAAGCGTCCGTTCCCGGCTGGGCTTCTATTACCAGAACATTAACTCTATGGTAAACGTGATGACTCTCTCCCTACCTCTCCACACGCAATTTCGACGATTCAGTCTTGCACTCGAACAGGAAACAGGCAGCATAAATCAATATCGTGTCAAGACCTTTTGTGGTTTTGCAACAGCCCATCGAGCTGAGCTGCCAGCGAGTGGAACTATCAGAATGACAGGCCACGATGGATTCCCATTGGCTTCACCTATTTTACTTCAGGTTCACTGTGCCGTCGCGAGCATACTCCATGCCACCGGCGAGGGTGCGAAGATCGCCCGAGTGCTACGGGACTATGATGCGACTGGTGGCCTCGCTAGCGACGGTAGTACCAATGTCTCGCAGCTCTTATCTTTGACTAAACTTGCATTGGTGCCCCATGCCCGTCGCTTTGATGGAACGGGTTCGACAGATGACTGAGACGACCGACATTGACAGGCCCCTCCACACCACTCCGTCTTATGGAGATTTAGCTATACTGAAGTGCGGGCTTCCCTACCGCATGACGTCTCCCCCATTGGAACTCTGATTCGCGATGGCCCCAGGCCCCGCATTAGGCGACTAGTCTCGGTGGCCTTTGCTAAAAGGGCAGTCACTATGATTCGAGTTTTGCAGTGCCGCGTCAATGCAACCCATTTCCCATTTGCCGGGGCCCACAAAGGATCAGTCAAGCTGGAACATAATGACCAGTTCATCGAATTGCGGAACTTCAGCCACTGTTGGCACTCTGATGGCTAAGTTGTTTACTAGTAGAGCAAGGTCCGACCACTGTATGAAGAGGGATACTACAGCCTGTACTAGGAGTAATCAGCAATTGCAGAAGGCCATCAACCTTGTCTGCCCTACAACAGCCCTAATCTCACCCGATTGACACCGAATTGAATGGATCGGAAGCCGTCATCTGACTTGACCAAGTGAGGCACAAGGTAGAATCATTGCGCCTTGAAGGTGCGTCCTGCGATACTCGTGCTAGTAAGCTATTCTACACGATACTCCACGTTGCAGTGAGCAGCCATAAGCACGCCTTTATCCAACGCCGAAATAACTGGGACAATAATCCTTTCTTAATTGTGTCGATTAATCTTCTCTGACCCTTCTCGGTCTCCCGATCTACTCATATGCTATGCTCAGTGGACAATTATTCAAATCACATAGAAGACTTGATTCTTTGTCTTAGGTACTCTCAATCGGATCGGTAGGAGAGGCAACATAACAGCATAAACCTGTTGAACCGAGTTCTGCTGCGAACTGCCAACAAAATTACTCTCATCTTTGGAAATCAGGTGAACTATTTGATTCACCATACTAAATAAAACCCGTGTATTTCAATCAGAAACATGGCAACGAGAAAAGCAGTATCAACTGCCTTGATCAAGGTGGGCACTGCTGGCATGTGAATGCCCGCTTCTTCATCTCGCAGGGAGAACATGAACATGATTGTGAATGTCTTCGACACCAGACCGGACCATCATCCAAGAGCAAGGCCCCCAGAATCTTGCATTATTCACTTTCTATGCTGAGTTACAAGCCTGTAACTCGACCCGCTCCAGCACCGCAGATCTCTCCACATCTTGCCCATCTCCGATAACTGTCAAAAGGTTACACCACCGTAACCGTGATATTAATCCCTGGACAATGACTACATCACCTGGACGGTTCAGCGGTATTGGATTCGGATAAAAGATGGCTGATGAAAGATTCATGACGTCCAGTCCGGACCCAAGCGACTCTGATATGACTGCGACGACATCATGAGTAGATATCGTCAATTTCACAGAGATGCCAGCTGACATTCAGGCCACGCTGAAGGGCTACCTGCCATTGGGCGAGGTAGCGGCGTGAAGCTCCTTCAGGAGGCGTTCAAGCACCATGACTTCTTAAGCCCTTGAAGGTGGCCGGGGATAAGACGGCCGAGGTCACTCCTTCACCACGGATAGGAATTGAAGACTCCCTAGAGTGTCTTCCTGTATCATGGAAGAGTCAATGGCACCTGAGGAGCTGACTGAGGAACCCCGATCTCTGCTCGCCTTTCTCTCCACTAGTAGTCGTCTTTTATGCTTCTTGACGCTCACTTCGGTAGCCTCCATTTCCCCACATTGTCCCCTTCTAGGTGATCAACGACTCAGACCTTTTGTCAGGGGTTGGTAGCGCCATGTGCTCAAGTGGGAGCCTCCCAAGGGCCTCAAATGGTAAGCGATGAATCTTTACGGTCTTTGCCAAAGTTCTTGCGGCTAATGACAGCCAGGCTGGAGAAAGTCTTGAAGTGGCTCTGGGACGGGGCGCTGGCAATCCTCAAAAGGCCGGGATGCGCCTGCAGTAGGCCGAAGCCCCGAAGCCCCGAAGCCCAACGCCGAAGATGTAGAAAATCAAGCCGGACGTGGCGGTATCAAGGGCCGCGGCGAGCCTGGAGCTCCCGGCCAGACAACTTCGACCCCAGGACTGCTGCAGACGAGCCAGCCTGACACTGGAAGGAGAGCTGGCGAGATGATGGCTATGATCAACGCCACTCAGGTCGTATTAGCTCCAACTACAGTTTACCATCAACATTTGACAATGTCTTAACCTTCATATATTCCATTTACTCACTGCACTCACTACACTCACTGTAAGCCAAGCAGACACGGCAAACAGAGCTCCTCAGCCGCACATGGGCAGAGCCTGGCTTGACTATGGGACGGCACATATCATTGCCTAGCAGCTATGAGAGGCTGCAGTTTAGGGAGGCGGGGATAAACGTATCATATCCGGCGAATACGATGTTAACAAAGAGGATGGGTACCCTGGCGAAGAGACTGCCGACTTGGAAACAGCACATATTGTGCCTTTTTCTCTAGCCAAGTTCGAAAACGCTGAAAATCGGGACTCTAACGAAATGTATCCATTCTTTGTGGACCGCGTGGTCGAACAAACCGGAAAATGAGAAACAGCAGAAAATGGCGGTTTGGGAAATGTTTCTCGCTATTTCCTCAGCGTTTGTTCCAGGCTCGACTTCTATTACGAGCATTAACTGGGGACGACTGACTTGCATTTGACACCAGCAGCTGAGCAGGATAGGCAGACATTCAGAAAAAGCCGGCGACGAGCAATATGTCCATCAGGCGCTGATGGCATTTCGCAACGCGGCAGCTATGAAAAATATCCAACTCAGACTGGTTGGGGTATATGGCGTCTCGCGTTCAAGGTCGAGTTCAGTCAACCCAGCATGGAGACCTACGCAGCGGCTATATGTACGGACCCAACGGGGGTGAAGAAGCATTCGTAATCATGGAAACCAAGGCTCATGTCCGGAAAGGAAGCAGCCAGGAAGGTTGCGAATCTACATGCAAGAAAGTGCTGAGATAGTCATTCGGATACTCAAGGATAAGCGCAAGGGACACACAGTGCCCCTAAACAACTACCTAGGTAAGTTTATCTTTCATTCAGCATTGCCGGCTGCGTACTAATACTCTATGTCATTAAAACAGCTTCTAGTCTTCCAAGATCGGCATCAAATCTATTACCCAGGCATCATATGATGCAGCCTATATCAAGTACATTCAAGGAAACACCTCTGGCAATGGTCTTCAAAGCTGAAAGAAATCGGCCCCTTCAACGCTCCAGATTATGACCACTTGAGGCTACTACTTGCGCAATATATCGGGAGTTTCTGTCTTCAGATCACCGACCAAATGTCATGATGCTACCACAATCCCTACCAGGCAATTTGGACCTTGGCAATTGAACAAACAGACATCCCACGATCTATACCTGAAATGTGGAAATTGTTGTCTCTGTTTTTTAACCATAACCATGTCCTCCAGTGGACACGTGGGAGCTTGACCAACCCCTACAACCCACGGATAGTATACTCGAAAACTTCATGTGCCTCTTGTCAGTGCTCAATGGGGCGCTACCTGCATCACAGATGAAGAAAGGGATAGGTATGATTATCAGGAGCTCAAAGAGCTAATCCAGTACCATGCAAGGGCAACCTATCGATGCCTTCTTCTACAGGTCCCGCGAGCCTGCCAGTCAAATACAGAAGCTGGTCATTCTATTTCGAAAACATCAAACTTGGAATCAATATGGCGCAGCCGCTGGCAGGCTATTGGGCGCTTCCTATTATTGCGTCTGACGACTCTGAGATAAACTCTGCTAGTAATCCTTATCAGGAACGGATCAATCACTTATGGTTGAATATCCTCACGCATTACTTCCCGCTGCGCGATGGTTTAGTACCGAGAGGGAAGCGCATGTTCAAGCCGGAAGGAAGTTTGTGGCCAGCCAACATTGCTGTCACCAACATACACCAGAACCATATGCACAACATATGGCCAAGTCCCCATTCGTATTACTGGGTTTGGGACTCTTACAGGCAACGGTGATGGTCCAGGGGCTGTCGACCCAGATGACCTAGTATCTATCCAGCGTCTTAATGATGAGTTACGTCTCTGGTTACGTTGCATATGTGAAGAGCCTCTTAGAGGCATCTCGAAGGGGATTGAGGCAGGGTATTTGAAGAAAAAATGAATAGCGGAGCACGGCCTCAGAAAGAACTGGTTGTGGAAACTGTTGTCTCTGTTCTTGGACCATAACCATGCTCTCCAGTGGCAACATGCGAGCTTTCTCACCCCACAAATCCACGGACAGTATACCGGAGAACCTCATTTACCTCTCTGACGATTTCACGTGGACTGGCCCATGGGCCTTGCGCCTTCAACCCACTTCGTTTGTCTTCTGACGGCCTCGGAATCGAGTGTGAGTTTCATTGGCTGCTGGCGGGGTCCCCAAGGGCCGATGGGCAATGTCCATCCTGCAAGAAGCCCATTATCGTCTCCAGGTCCTGATCTCAATATCGTGTGAAGATATTCCGTCGTCTTGCAAAACGTTGTCGAGGTTCTTTCCCAGAGAGCGGAATTGTCACTATGACAGCCTACGATCGATCATATACGATTCAAACGGCAATCCCAATACTCTTCTTACAGAAATGGCAAGCCGTCATTACCGAGATTCGCACCATTGGAGAGCTCCCAGTTGGGTTGAATATTGCATCTTTCTACATACTTCAGGTTCACTGTGCCGTTGCGCACATACTCCATGCCACCAGCGAGGGCGAGAAGATCGAACAAGTACAACACGAACCTCCAGTGGTCCCCAAGACCACCCTTCCTACCATGTCAATGGTCCCCGGCTGGAATTATACCAGAATACCTCACAACTGGCAGGACAATGGCTATTGGGTGCGGTTCAACCACACCACAGCGTTCCTGAAGTTCCAAACTAGCATCCCATAGATAGAGGTCTGCGACTCCAGCGGCAAGCCACTCACAAAGTGTCAATGGGAATTTACAGAGCATTACCAGTCCAAAAAGAACCAACGGTGGAAAGACAGCTCTGGAAAGCCTGCTTGACGAACTTCTCAACACCCAAAGGGCATCAACTTCCAGACGGTCAAGTCGAGAACCGCAAGACAGGTATAGGAAGTTGAACTTGCCATTGCGCAGGGAGCACCAGACACTGCCTACCTTTTGGCTGGAAAATGGAGACTGGAAGGACTGTAACGAGAATGGAAAACCTTTGATCACGGTTGTGCCTTTGCGCCCGATGACGACCCAGTCTACCTTACCCCATGAGTGAGCGAATCGCCCATTCCCATCTACCTACCAAATTATGACGCTACTGGTGGCCTTGCGAGCAACCATAGTAGTAATATCGCACAGCTAATATCTGTGCTGATGCTTGCATTGGTGCACGGGCTTTTTTGATCCCTACCTTGACTGGACGGCAGCCATGGATGGTGATGTGACCGAGGCCGTGTTGGACCTAATAACTGCATTTAATAACATTAAATAGGCACATCACTCTTGTCATAGGATTAACAGGAATAAGAAGACGCCGCAAGTATGATTATGGGCCGTGCTGAGTATTTTGCGGCTTCTTCAATAAATGTTTAGTAGATCGCTTAGTATGACCAATTCTTGCTGATCAGAGCTTGTATCACGTCTGCTATCCTCATGCTATGCTATTCAACCTCTATCGGATAACCTCGTTCCCAGTTCTGCGATATAGGAGTATTGAAGATTCGTACATGAAGAAGCTCTCAAGACAAGCGTGGACACACTGGTTTCCTGGCCTTGGATTCTTAGGTTTAGACGTCAGCACGTGCAAAGCTAAAGGTCGATCTGTAATTACGTATTATCGAGCACGATTGAGGAACAAAGAATCAACCAGCTGGTTGGCGAACTCAAATTCGTGTCGTGCATCAAGAATTGACAGATGCCACATGTAGCAGCCCACCTATTTAGACCCAAACTGGAAAAATTTCTGATATTGACCGTTTGACTATCACTGCTATACCTCGATGTCTCCTTGTTCCTGAAACATTTCCTCTTCCGCTTTGTGGGTCCTGCCGTCGTTTGTGGCTGTTCCCTTTGCGGCGGATCGCAATCTGCTTGGCCACGCCACGTTCGGTCGTCCGTCTGCGGTGTCTCCTTCTATCCCAAACGGTGCGAATTCTGTATAGACTATCTACTCCTCGATCGGACTCGTTCATATTCTCAATCGAATATTTCTGTCAAGGCTCAGTCATAGCCTCAGTGCCTACTGACACCCAACCAGCGCAAGCCCTTCGACCAATCGCGCAACTGACATCATGTTTGAGGTCCTATAAGGCGGAGACAAAAGCTCTTGGGACGAAAGGTCGACCATGGAGGGACTATTCACTTTGCTCGCTTTGAGCATTGTGATGGCAATTACGTGAGCATTGAGATCATATTTCGTTCATCTTCGGGGAAGAATGGAAAACTAATGGTCGTCTCGTCTTGATGTAGATCCTTCGTTGTCGGCTCATTACCGCTCGCTTTCACACTTTCCCCCTCGCAGTTGCGATTAATTTCTTCCCTTGGAATGGGAGTCTTGGTTGGGACATCTTTAATTGTTATCATTCCGGAGGGCGTGGAAACTCTTTACAGTGCGAACTCGCATAATGATCGAAAAGGTCTCAGCACTCGTTCAATCACGGCCGTGGAATGGCAACACCGATCATTTCCGGCTGTCGCTGCGGTCGATTTCTCCAACTCGAACAAGGAAGCAGATTCTACACATCTCCCGGCCATGTCTTCACCGGAGACACCTACTTTGGCACCCGCACTTCCACTCATACGGACAATGCACGTTACCCGCGACGAGCAACCTGAATTGCGGCAGCGAGAGGAGGAGAGTGAGTCGAATGAGGATGAACACAATGGACACAAAGAAGAGAACTCTTCACATGCTTGGATTGGAGTTGCCCTGATCAGCGGTTTTATCCTGATGTACCTCATCGATAAACTACCCGATTTCGCAGCGCCTTCAAAGCAACAAAGACCGCCCTACCACATTTCTCTGGACAATCTGGGATCCGGATTGCTACGCAACCCTTCCCCCTCCAGGGAAGGAGGTTCGTTGGACGCCGGCAGTACCTCTAGTCGAAGTCATAGCTTTGCGACAACCACTGGTCTTGTCATCCATGCGGCAGCTGACGGCATCGCTCTGGGTGCATCTACCTCCGATACCGGTTTGAGTTTTATCATCTTCCTGGCTATTATGGTGCACAAAGCTCCCGCGTCCTTTGGTCTTACATCGGTGTTGCTCAAGCAGGGCGTGTCGAGTCGGACCGCAAGAGCGCATCTGGTGATCTTCAGCTTGGCGGCTCCCTTTGGCGCAATGGCAACATTTCTTTTTGTGCGGATCGTGGGCTCCGGCTCTAGCAGCGACGAGGCAGCCACTCTGTGGAGAACTGGAATGTTGTTGTTATTCTCTGCTGGAACTTTTCTGTGGGTTATCCTCTGATCTCAGTGACTGCACAGACAATGGTGACTAACCGTCTCTAGTTATGTTGCCATGCATACAATGCAGGAGAACAACCCGAACTCGGACTTGCGCGAACTACCAATGAATGGATATGGCGATTCCAGAGACATCCCTGCTAAATCCGACAAGTCCATGCGCGATCTGGTCGCCTCTGTCATCGGCATGATACTGCCGCTGTTTTTGCAACTCGGCCATGCTCACTAACGCGATTCCGCTTTGAAACCTTTTGCCTTCTAATCCCTTATGTCTCTGATTTAATTTGGCTAGAAATCCGGCTCAAGTCTGGTTTCAGACTTGGGGCTCCTCGGCGAGCCTAGAGAATGAACTCATGGCGATCTTGAATACTATAGACTTTGCGCGTTCGAACGAAGGATCCATCTGTTTCTCAAGAGCTATAGCGTCTTTTTTAAACCGTTCCACCTATTTTGTACTATACTGGTACCTCATTCTACTGGAAGAGCCGTAGCTCTGCTCTGGCTTACTGTATTATTTTAAATGCTATATGCGACTTGTTGTTTGTGTTTTCGTACCGGTCCAACTGCTATATAGTATAGCCTTGTGTTCAGCCCCTTCACATTGATGATGAAACCATTTGTCATGTTCGGATGATACCTGGGAGAATTTTGTTCCATGGTTGAAGATATTCTGTTGTTTGCCAACCCAGGGACTCGGGACAACCATATCACTGAATCTGGGAATTTGAACGGCTAGAGTCTCCACGGATGAGGTAAATATTTGGAGTGCCGATTCTGTTGCGCTCCTGGACGGTGCAGATCCGAAGCGTCTGATAAGATACGATGTCGAATAGAGCCATCCGACAGTCAATGAGCACATTAGTCATTTAAAGCAGATGCAGGCAGGCATGTGGTGGCTGAAGTACGGCTGATTCTGCAATTTTCTTCGCCTCCTTTGACGACAGACTTGCGAGTTCGGAGGTTCGCCTGTGCCACTGCGCCAATATGAGGGGTTATTATACCTCTGGATTCTGCTCTTCAGCTTAGCATGCTAAGAAGTCTAGTAGTGACGAGGACTCTGTGAAGGAAAGATAACTCAGATGTACATATCTATATGATTTCTTGTTCGCTGTTGATTGTGTCTATTGAAGAATCCCAAAGTTTGTCATTACCGCTATTTTTTCTCCCTGTGGAACCGGGTATCCTCTTATCGTCAACTGTGGAGACAAGATGATCATTAGAATTCATATACCTCGCTACAACATCATACAATTTGAAAGCAGATGAAAATTGGTTGGTTTTGATCGCCTACTACTGCCACTCACTGCAGACTTGGGCGGGTTTCTCTTTCCCCAGCTGAGAGACCTAGCTTTACCTGTGCCATATCAAAATCTGCGGAGGACTATCTACAAAGTACCTATTTCTCCCAAATCTACGGATAGACGGGAGTGGCCTAGATACAAAGTACCTTAGCCTCTAAGGTAATTGATTATGGATTATGCTATTCCTAAGGCCCGCACCTGACCCGGCAAGACATCCGTCGCATGATCCAGACTCCAGACTCCGGACTCTACCTTACTGTCTCTCCTCTCGTCAGGCTTAGGATCGCTTGCTGCCTTTTTGATATACATTCGGCCTTCTTTTTCAGGCATCTGAATGGCGTCAAAGTAGCCGCTGTTGCTGGCTGTAACTGACCTTTTCCGGTTCTCCTCCTCGAGTAATTTTCCCAACTTCGCTTTCTAAAGGAAAATAAAATAAAATACTCCCATTTCTTTTCTGTTTTCTTCCTTTCCCCCCCCTATTTCCTTCTTTCGTCAGAGCGCTTCCTCTAGCGCTCTCGCATCGGAGTCTATCCGTTTGTCATCATCTCACTTTCTCTTTCCTCCTCAATATCAGTCCTCCTTTGACCTCCTCACCACCTCTCTTTCTTACAGTATTTGTTTTGCTCCCTCTCAAGAGAAGCGATACGTTCTCTATGATCCAAGTCGATCCTCAGAAGGCTTTTGCGAGTCCCTATCGATAATCATCGTTTGCCGTCGACACAAGTGCATGTTGTTACCGTCATACCCTCCACGGCAGTTCGCGAATACACTCTTTGGGCGTCATTCATCGAACGGGTGGACGACGGGATGACTCCGCGTATTGTTTCTGAGCAGTTGGAGACTGCACATTCCAGATCATCTGCCGCTCGGAATTCAGCCTCCCACTCGAGATCTCTGTCCTCCAACAAGACCGTCACTCCTATTCCTCCGAGTCTATTACCCTCCGCACCTGCGTCACCTCCAACCCCGGCCCCTAGCCCGACCCCTCACCAGAGGCCTCCGACATGGCAGTCCTCAGACGAGGAAGATGATGCCTTTCTCCTGAATGCCAGGATACATTTTACTTCTTTGTCCAGTGCGAAGAAGCAGAGATTTTTGGAGGGTGTACTCGGTCTGTGCGACAGTCAGCTTCTCAGCTTTGTGTCGAGTTATGTCACTCCACGGTTAAGGAAAGATCCTTTTCAGGTCTTCCCAACCGAACTATGCTTGAGGGTAAGCTTTCCGTTGACGCTCTCTCAACTTTAATGAACAGAACTGACTGTAAGCTCCCCTCGTTGCACTAGGTTCTCTCATTCATCGACGACCCGAAAACCTTGGCGAGAGCCTCTCAGGTTTCAAGGCGTTGGCGTGATCTCCTGAGCGATGATATTACCTGGAAGAACCTCTGCGAGAAGCATGCTTATGCTTACCGGAGACCGTCGGGAGATTTCATTGACCCCTTCCACCTGCCTTCGGTTTCAAGCACACGCTCCCTGAACGGGCTGCAGAGAAGAGTATCGGGTTTACATCCTTCAGATAATCCCTTCGACCTACCTCGCTCTGGCTCTGGAGACTGGCTCTCTTTAGCCTCACGGAAGCGACGGACTCGACCCTTGTCATACAGATCTCATTTCAAGCAAAAGTACATGGTGGAGTCGGCTTGGAACAAAGGGGGCCGTTGCACCCAACGGCACATCACGCCAGATCAAGGTGTTGTCACGAGCTTACATCTTACCTCGAAATATATCGTGCTTGCGCTGGACAACGCCAAAATTCATGTATACGATACCAACGGGAACAATCAGAAAACATTACAAGGCCATGTCATGGGTGTCTGGGCCATGGTACCGTGGGACGACATTCTGGTGAGCGGCGGTTGCGACCGCGAGGTCAGAGTCTGGAACATGGCTACCGGGTAAGTGGTACCTTAATGACGCTGAGCTTCGCTGGGAGGAAAATGGCTAACGGTGCCGCCAGAGCTGGCATCTACCTTTTACGTGGCCACACATCGACTGTGCGTTGCCTGAAGATGTCTGATAAAAATACGGCCATCTCTGGATCAAGAGATACGACGCTGCGCATATGGGATTTGACAACAGGCACCTGTCGCAATGTTCTGGTCGGGCACCAGGCAAGCGTTCGGTGTCTGGCCATCCACGGGGATATTATTGTTTCAGGGAGCTACGATACTACCGCCCGAATTTGGAGCATATCGGAAGGACGGTGTCAACGAACACTGTCGGGTCATTTCAGTCAAATCTATGCGATTGCCTTTGACGGCAGGCGAATCGCTACCGGCAGTCTTGACACCAGTGTCCGAATTTGGGATCCGCACTCTGGCCAGTGCCATGCTATCCTTCAGGGACATACATCCCTTGTCGGACAATTGCAGATGCGAGGCGACACTCTGGTTACCGGCGGATCTGATGGATCAGTGCGCGTTTGGTCATTGACGAAGATGGCACCTATCCATCGTCTGGCGGCTCATGACAATAGCGTGACCAGTCTTCAGTTCGATAGTTCGCGTATTGTCAGCGGTGGTAGTGATGGCCGCGTCAAGGTGTGGAGCTTACAAACAGGCCAACTCCTCAGAGAGTTGTCCACGCCTGCAGAGTCTGTTTGGAGAGTTGCATTTGAAGACGAAAAGGCGGTGATCCTAGCTAACCGGTCGGGTCGGACTGTTATGGAGGTGAGTGGCCCAACTAGAACCTCAGTACACATATCTGACTTGATACAATTTCGTAGGTCTGGACATTCTCCCCTCCAGAAGAAGATGATGACGGTGCTGTTGTGGAAAGTACCGCCAGCACACCCGGATTACGCCCACGCCAACAAAGCAGTCAAGATGACCTCTCCTTGAATTGTTCATCTCGTTCAGCTCGACACCGAATGCTCTTTTCAGATCCACCTCCGACCTTACCCTTGAACAATAACGATGACGACGACCTCATGCCGGATGCCMCTGCTTCGTGATTATTCTCCTGCCGTACTATTCGAGGCTCAATAAGCTCATCACGCCTTTTAGTGACCTCTATTCCGAGCACTATTTGATCCATTGAGAATTGCATGGGACAAAGTGCAATTTAAGTCTAATCTCACCGGTCGTCGACAGTCGTCTGTCACGCTTTACCACCTAAGGTGCAGACCACAATCTCGAGATCAGTTAACTTTTGTCATCAACCCTTTTGCATAGATACTGGGTGTTGGATTGTATTTTCGTTTCCATCCTTGTCATCCATACTACCTTGATTTTGCGGAGTTTCAAACGGGAGTTAGCGGGTTTTGATGCAGTACCTTCGACGTGGTTTAATTTTCCTCGCCGGTTCGATGATACCCACCTCGGGAGGCGATGTATTTGGCATCTAGGAATTGGGTTTCGATCTTGTGACGAGAAGTGGTCTCATGGTCATGGTCTTCGCTGTCATGTTGTCACTGCTTCCGGAATATATACTTGCATACCAATAGGCATTATAGAACCAAGCGCAGTTCCTCTAATTTAATCCGACGCACAGCTGGCTGTCTTTTTCGTAAATAGCGGAAAATTGGCTACGAGCTGAGACATACTGTTGAATCTTAAATCGTCTTGACCAGGGATTTATGTGTCTTTATGCGTGACTGGGATGGGCAGTTATCCGAGACAATGACTAATACACGATTCCATCCATGTCCCTGTCCGCCGATAGCAGCCTCTGTCCAATCTCCCACTATTATCCATGAAACAAAGCAGGGGTTTCCTTATCAAGATCGTGTCTTGATATTTTATTGTATTCATCTCTTGTCGTAGGTTCGGAAAGCAACGTGGATACAAGGACCTACCGACAGCAGTCATTTTACTGGTCACAACTCAATCATGTCCAGGCGGCAGGCAGACGAATTCAATACATCTGCATCTTGGATTTGAAGCCACAGCCACAATAAAGAGACGGACCTCATCATCTATAATCTATTCAGGCTCTCTGTCGCATCCGCAATTCTACGAGTGATGTAAATATGGTGTATGGGGGAAGACCGAGCACAGGTTGCTATCTTTGCCTCAAACGAAAAGTGCGGGTAAGTCAAAATCATCTTGTTCCCTTTCCATCATGAGCTAATGATATCGAAGTGCGATGAGGCGCTGCCAGAGTGCCGGAATTGCGTCGTCTATGGCCGGCCATGCCCAGGTTATCGGCCCGACACCATTTTCAGGGACGAGACGCAGAAGGTGCAGCGTATGGTGAAGAAAAGCCGGTCTGACAAGTCGTCTTCTACCGGCTCAGGCAAGACCCAAGCTACGACACCGCGTCCGATCGAAGTCTCAGAACAGAAGTGTTCTCCTGTGTCGGTTCGTCAGATCGCCGACTCGACCTGGGAAGAGCGGGCGATTTGCTTCTTCTTCGACCAGTACACTTGCTCGGATGAAACGGGCGAGTGTATCAGCCACCTGGGATTCTTGCCGTCATTGTACGCTCTGTGCCGCGATGCTGGGGAGAAGGAATGCTCGGCGTCATCGTCGTCGCTGCGGCTGGCGGTGGACGCGACGGCTCTTGTCACGCTGAGCAATGAGATCAGGGAGCCCTCGTTGATTGTCAAGGCGCGGTATCTGTATGGTATGGCTCTGCAGCGCCTGCGTCAGGCGCTGGAATCGCGGACGCAAGCTGTCCGGGACGAGACGTTTGCGTCGGTGGTTCTGCTTTCCATATTTGAAGATATTACTGGAGAGCGCAATGGACTTGCAAGTTCGCATACGGTGGGGTTGGAGAGCCTGATGAAACTGAGGGGCATGAGTCAGTTCGGCCACGCGCAGGGTCGAGATCTGTTCAACTTTGCCTATACGCATACGGTATGTCGTTGTCTCTGTCTGGGTATCTGCGGGTAAGAACTGACGGGCACCAGCATACCGAGTTCTTGGCCTTGGGCGACAAGCCTCGATTCAAGACTGACTGGATTGCTGGACTCTTGGATAGTGCGGATCCCGTCCACCGACTGATGCTCCTCGCATCGAAAGTTAGCCAGATATTCCTCGAGAGTTCATCCTTGCAGGCCTCGGCAGGAGCGGAAGATGTCTGCAGGCTCGTCTCGTACATGGAAGACGCCAAAGCGGTGGATTTGGAGCTAGCAGCGTGGAGTCAGGGTCTGCCTGATACCTGGCTCCCCCTTATTATCTACTCGCAGACACATGAGTCTTTGATGACCTATCAGCAGATATCGATCGCAGCGATATGGAACTACTACCGTGCTGTTCGCATCATCCTGCTCAAAGTCATACTCCGGCTCCGCGGCATTCTTGCATCAATCGTTGGCGAATACACAGTCTATAGTGAGCTTCTTCAAGAGGAGCCGATGATTCTAGAGTCGATCCAGGAAATGATCACGGATGTGTGCCGGAGCATCCCCTTTGCCTTTGGCCATGTGGATGGGATGGGCAATCCAATCCCCACCGCTTCGGAGGGGAAGCTACATATTCGTGCTTTCCAGGGGTACAGCATGGTATGGCCCTTGTGGTATATCTCGTCGTGCGGCCTGGCGACTCCAGAACAGAGCCAGCAGGTCCGAACCGTTCTGGCCCGGGTAGGGTCTACACTAGGTATCAAACTGGCATTGATACTAGCTGGGGAAGGGCAGGTTGATTATATAGTCCCTACCGCCCAAGGCGACACTGTCGTCCGTGAAGCGTCTGTGTTATAAGCATGACGGCCATTGCCGTACTACTGTAGCACTGTACTAGTTGCTGGCGATTGGTGCGATTCACTGCAGCACATAGTCCTTTTACCAGGTTGTATATAGGTTACTCTTGTATATGAATATTATCTCACTATACATAAATAATTTCCAAGGATAATATTCTCTTTTACCCCTGGTACCTTAGTAGAGAGATACAAAGTCGCAGAGAGCGGACATAATGACGTCATTGATATGTTCCTGAAGCTGTCTCAACGCTGCACATCGAAAGAACATTTACGACTTTCCTTCCGAATCACTAATAGCAAGAGCAAATAATAATAGATATATGCACCAGCAATCCCGAGACAAAGAGAGATACCCTGGTAGGTTCCCATAAGTAGGTGCACGGATGCTATGCCGCATCGCCGTGTCATAGACAAGCAACATGCCATTGCCGGTTAGCCGTTCGCATTTCCCTTATCATCACATTATTATTGGAAAAGCGGAGAACACAGGACTGAAAGTAACGTCCCACTGGCTGATTCAGTTATATGTATTTCCTGATTGAGAAATGCAAGTGGCTTCTCAAATCGCGGATGGAGATCTCGGATCTGGCTAGGAACTGGGTCTCCGTCCTCTGACGACATCGGTTCTGAGGAGTATAGATAGACTGTGCGAGCGTTTCTGATCGGTGTTGCTTTCTTGTAGACACTTTTGGCATTGCTTTTTTGTGTTCGTCCTCGTTTTTGTTCCTTTTTATTTAGGAGTGCACTGCTATTGTCTGAACCTCTGCTTCTTCCATTATATACTCCATAGAGAACTCAACAACACATAATGGCCTCGAAAGAACGGCAGCTTCCATTCGGGAAGATCGAGCCCAATTCAGCGAAATACTTTCTAAGCTGTACTCTGGGTGGAATTGTCGGTAAGTGTTGCATCCATGCTACATTTTGCTAGAGTTATGCTGACGCAGTGGTTTTCGTTTGAAGCTTGTGGTAAGTGGTAGTATATACGAAGAATACTCTTGCTGGAATTCGCCCGCTGATAATATATTCGATCAGGCCCTACGCATACAGCAGTTACCCCCCTTGACCTGGTCAAATGTCGTCGCCAGGTGGACCCCAGCATCTACACGTCCAATCTCTCCGCATGGCGCCAGATCTTCTCCAAGGAAGGCCTACGCGGCGTGTTCTTCGGCTGGTCGCCTACCTTCATCGGATACTCGTTCCAGGGTGCAGGCAAATACGGTCTCTATGAGTACTTCAAGTACCTGTACGGGGACCGCTTGTTCCCCAACATGAACCGCACGGTGGTATTCCTGGGTGCCAGCGCATCAGCCGAATTCTTCGCCGACATGGCCCTCTGCCCGTTCGAAGCGATCAAGGTGCGCATGCAGACGACTCTGCCGCCGTATGCGCACAACCTGCGGGAGGGCTGGAGCAAGGTCGTGGCCAAGGAAGGGTTCGGGGGTCTGTACAAGGGGCTGTATCCGCTCTGGGCGCGGCAGATCCCCTACACCATGACTAAGTTTGCTACCTTTGAAGAGAGTGTGAACATGATCTACCGGACGTTGGGGAGGCCTAAGGAGACCTTCAACACGCTGCAGCAGACGGGCGTTAGTTTCCTGGGAGGCTATATTGCCGGTATCTTCTGCGCTATCGTCAGTCATCCTGCTGATGTCATGGTTAGCAAGCTGAATGCAGATCGGAATGGTAAGTGTGGCCTTCTGACAGCCTCCTGTCGTTCTGCTAATGGGCTTGCAGCTGGCGAGTCGGCAATGGCGGCCGTATCGCGAATTTACGGCAAGATCGGATTCTCGGGCCTGTGGAACGGTCTGCCAGTTCGAATCGTGATGCTTGGTACATTGACTGGTTTCCAATGGCTAATGTAAGTCGTACTGTTGTCTATTGGTCCTGATTGTGTCCGTTCGCTGACGTCGTCGGAAACAGTTATGATTCTTTCAAGGTGTTCCTGGGGCTCCCGACCACTGGTGGTCATTAAGGTGTTTAGGAGCTCTTATGACGGGCTGTTTGGCGTTATCGCATTAGTAGTTAGATACACTTTAGATGAAGGACTCGAAATCATTCTTCTGTTGCTTTTCGTAAAGTAGATTGACCGCCCTTGATAACCACCCGGCAGAATAATAGCCGCGAATCCTCCATTGTCGGAGCAGCGTCCTCGATGGCGATGTCTGGCATTGGCACAAAAAAGTCTTCCATTTAATTTCTCACTTTGATTTTATATTATATAGTCTTTTCCTTTTTTCAGAGAAAGCATTGACTGAGCGACAGCCCACGTGTCCGTCGCTGGCATCCACCCAATCATCGTGAAAGGGATCGAATCGTCACTTTCGCATCTCAAGACAATAAGATCGGCTTCTCTTTCTTCCTGCAGCTTCGACCCTTCCAACGTCAACAATAGCGAATCAACCATTGGCAATCGCCATTTGGAGTGTTCATCTTCAACACCCCGTTATAATCTCTGATCAACTTGAACAACCTTCATCCTCCGTTCTCGAGCGTCAGCCAACCTCTAATTTTCTCTCTCAACCTCACGCGGATAAAACCGACTGCCAGTAAGACTACCAAATAGGACCACCACAATGGACACATCCACCAAGCCCTCATCATCACTACCCTCCTCCAACCCTCCCAGCGTCGAAGGCGCCTACAAACGCAAATGCATCGCCCTAAAAAAGCGCTTAAACGAGATCGAGGCCGAGAACGAGATGATGCGCATGCGCAACAAGCGCGGATGGCAATACGTCCAGAAAATGCGCCTGGAGTCCTGTATCCTGCTCGAGCGCCTGGCCAAGGTCACCGGCATGGCCGAGGAGGCCCAGGCGGGCGTGAACCCCGAGCTGCGCGCCCGCGCGGCCGCCGTGATGAGCAGCGCCAGCGCTCTGAATGGTTTTCCCGGGGCGGTGGGCGCGGGCGCGGACCTGGCGGCTGGTAGTGGTAGTAATGGGGCTGCGTATATGGAGGATGAGACGGAGGGGAGCTCGGACGAGCAGCCTCCTACGGTGAGTTTTGGCTGATTCGGTTCCGCTTGAGCTTTCCGGTGTCAGGGTCCTGACGAGTTGAGATGAACAGCCTCAAGAACGCCCGTTGCGGGTGAAACGGTCTCGAAAGTCGAATATTGGCGATGCAGGACTGGATGATGATCCGTCGGCCAGCGCCCCGCCTGAAGAATCGACTGCTGGCTCAGCGGGCTTGCCGCGACTTGCGCCGGCCCCGACACAGGAGGAGATGACCTCCACGTTTCGCATTCGCACAGGCAGCAATGGCGCCATACATGAAGGAGAGAACAGTCATGCTACTAGTGAGCGCGGCAGCCAAGCTCCGGAGTCTGGGGCTGCAGATAGGGCGAAGGAGCTCTCGACGACACCGATGGATGTGGACAAGGCGCCGAAAGAGGAGAGCCAGGGATGATGAGAGCCTTTTTTATTTCCTTTCATTTCTTTTTTGTTCTTTGCCTCTTCTAGATTAATCTCCCTTTTCTTCAGTTTTGTTCCATATGCAGCTATTCCCATATCGAAGGGGGGCTTATTTACGTGGTTTCCTCATAACGAGATGTTGGCGCTCATTGTAGCGCTTATGACCAGTGCCTGATGACTTTTCCAATGTACTTGAGAATCAGACAAGGAGGTGTCTGGACTTTGCGCATAGACACGCATATGGAAGATAGTCTGGCCACAACGGTGCGCCTCGTTCTCGAACTCCCACGCCTACCGCAGTGAGCGCCTTGCGTGCAGATTTAGTAGCAAATAAAACACACGGAAACGATGCTTCATCATGAATGTCCCTGAGGACATGTTCAATATTAACAGCCTGTCTAGTGGTACATACAAAGATGGTTGCCTCGATAGGCAAAGAGGGATGCAAGGGTCCCCGAACGAAGATGACCAACTCCAGTCCCAGCCCGAACTCCCGACGCAAAGTCTTCCGATGCTAAATATGGCACCGCAACTGATGCAGTGAGCTTGTGTAGATTCAGTGCAAAATGAATAACGAGTCGCGCACAATGGATAGATCAGTGAAAGATCAATCGTCTGAAGCGCCGCTAAAAGATCAGGAATACTTCGAGCAAGGATCACAAGATGAGCGACTAATCAACTCCTGCGTACAAGTCGACCACGATGTTAATGGCTGCGACTAGGATTTCCGCCGCGATCAAGATGATGACTGTATTTGGTGAGCCAAACAGGAATCGACACGACAGCTAGAAGTAAGGGACTTACCGATCCATTCAAGATACTCACCGTGGCGGTGAGTCAACTGATCCTTCAGGACGGCCAGAAGATCCGCAATGACGTCCAGTCGCTCCGTGAGAAGACTGACTCTTTGGTCCATCTCGAGATAGCTTCGGACAGCCTGGTAGACCGGCTCCAGCTGCGGCTCTGCCCACATCAGTTCCGGACTGTCGAGGACGGAGCCTTGTAAATGAATGTTTATTCGTAAGATGAACAGTTCTCCAATCTGCATGTTGATTTGTCGCCGCGTCATGTTGACACTGCCGGTTTGGGCGATTTGAGCCGGGAGTGGTGCAGTATTCGAGATGGTTTCCGAGACGAGGTCCTCGAAGAGGGATGTTTTGACGGATTGGGACAAGGCATGTGAGATGGCAAGTTTGATCATATGGTTTCGAGGATCACGGAGCGAGATAAAGTCATTGTATATCCGTGCCTGGTACTCGCGAGCATAGTAGAAGTTGAAATTCTCAACCTGCGTATCTTCGGGGCTCAGAATTGAGTTTGCGAATTTCGAAACGTCGGATAGGAATCGTGATTCTTGCGCGGGTGACATGCCCCATATGACAACTGTCCCGTAATCAAAAAGGAAGACCTCCGGGGTGTGGATGGTAGTATCAAAGTCTGGCGTCTCGTCTGTCCGCTGTACTGCGCTCTCCGTATGTGCGTCATGGTGTGATTGTTCTTGCGAATCTCGCAGGTCAATGAGGTCTTCTCTGCGTGATTTCGCATTATCTTCAACTTCGACCGCACTGTCTGAATACCTGCGCTCGCCGGAGGGCCGATCGGGACTCGACGGGATAGGGTGGAGCCCCAGCGCATTGTCAGACAAATTCCTCGGCGCTCTTTGTTTATCCTCATATAAGTAATCGTAGGGAGAGTAGACGCATTCGTCGTACAGCTTCGGGTTAGCCCCGCGGGTCTTTGACCGTGCTTTAAGAAACCTGATAACGCCTTCGAGTCTGTACGAGTTGGCTGTACAGTATGCTGTTACTCGTGGAAGTCGATCTCTGTCTGCTTTCCCCAATCTGGCAGCGTGACTTCGGGCAGTCGGTTCTTTGATTCGCGTGATCTGCGAATACACATCTCGCGGGAACTCGTCGTCCGCAATGTCCTCATCGGCAGCTGTCACAGGATCCGGCAGCAGTTTTAGTTTCTGCGCATTCTTTGTCGTTCGCTGTGGTCCGACCTTGGGTGCTGGTGGCATCGAAGGCACAGCCGTGCTGTAGGGAGCTCCATGGCTATTGCGGCGACGGAGCTTGCTGTTCAGGGCAGAAAGGCCGGTCGGTCTCGATTGATTGGACGGAGCGTTGGGAACAGAAGAAGCACCCGAACTCAATGGCTTAAAAGTGGGATCCACGGCGGCAGTAGCATCATGGTATGTACTGACCGTGGCCAGTGGGTTGAATGTCACTGTCCGCGGCGGACGGCTTCCTCGTTGCTGTGACGTATTGGAGGATGCTGGCTGCTGTTGGTATTGGGGGAGTAACGGGGTTGTCTCTGCTGCCGAAGTCATCCTGTTTTTCGTTAAATAAAACAATCAAGAGTCGTCTGTCATGAATAGACAGATCAATGTCTGAAGAAAAGAAATAGAAGAGGAGAAAAGGCCTCTGTGGGCTAGCCGCAGAGATGAAAGCCAAAGTCCAAGGTCCAAAGCGGACGGATCGCAGAAAGCTCGAAGCTCAGCACGTGCTCCCGCCAGACGCTGCCATCAGCCAGTTTTGGCGCAACGAAGACATCCATCGGAAAATTAAGATGCTTATTACTGCTATAGTAGTTCATAAACGCATTTACTGCTTCATTGTACATAATTTTATTCGGGTATCCAAATGATCAACTATCAAGCTATTTTCCAGCATCAACCAGACAGATGAGAGCCCATTCTCGTGTTGTACAATGCTGGAGTCGTGACCTTGAACGGGATGTTTACGGCAACCATCAAGCAATTGTACAACTAGAACTTTCAGAAGCTTTTCAACGCCCTGGTTCGGCGATGTTTAAGCCTAATAGACCTTAATGAAAGTAGTAATACTGCGGACTTCCACCGGAGTCAGCGCTAGCTGCTGTCGCCTGCCGCCAACAGCGCAAGCCACTCAATAGCCCGTAGCTGATGAATGATGTATGATGACAAGCAATGTCAGTCATTATTCCAAACCAATCTCGACCTGCATCAAGACGCCATAAACACCTTGTCGCCTGGTTCAAAAGTACCCTGGTTCAAAAATACGCAGAAGCCGATAGACTAGGAGCCCTTATCTGCGAACAAACCCCGAAGAGCCACCTGCAGTTCTTCTAAGACCATTGACAGTGGCGGTACTGCGAGCTCTGTTGAGCCAATTCTGCTTAGCGTTTCGTCCAGTCTTTGAGGCTTTCGGCGGGAGGGTTGTCTTGGCCTTCTTAGTCGGGTTCTCGTCAAGCACACGGATTGTAACATCACCCAGCTTGACATCCTTGGGGCGCTTCTCCGTAGCATCGAGAAATCTCAACTTGTTTGGCTTCTTATGCGAAACATTAAGCTCCTCCAATGGGGGCGTTGGAGGTCTGGCGACAGGAGCTGCATTGAGAATCTCATCCGGCAGAAGAGCTGGGAGAGCTGATCGGCGGGCATCTTGTGTGGTACTACCTCGCAGCGTCTCCGTGCTTTCTGAAAGCTGGTCATCAGCAGAACCGGCTGCTAATTTGGTCACCTCCTTTTGTTTCGCTTGCTGTTTGTGGAGTTCATCCAATTGTTTTCTCTTCTCCTTTCGCAGCTGTTCCTCACTGTAGATTTTGAGTTAGAAATAGAAGCACTTTCTAAGACGTAGTGGAGATACTAACATTTGTCTGGCTCGTTCTTGCTTTTTGGCTTCCAGTCTAATCTTGGACATCTGAGCTGAATTGTCAATCGCTTCGGGAGCTTCGTCCTCATCACTGCTGTCTTCATTGTTCTGATCCTTCTGCTGAGGCTCTGGCACCTCTGTCTCCATCTCCACCGGCGGTTCAGGCTCTTCGCTGTCGAACCTGAAGTGTTTCGTCTTAGACGCAGGCGCCTGTGCCTCTTCTCGTTTCGACGCTGACTTGATCATGGCACTAGATGTCTCAGTTGACGATTCCCTCTCCGGCTCTTCAGCAGCCTCTAGACTGCTTCTCTTTCTCCGTTTGTTGTGCTGTGACTCGGGCTTTGCAGCGCTTGTAGATTCGGGCTTGCGCTTCCCATTTGCGGTGGTCGAGACGCCTTTGCTATCTCCAGAAGCTGTCGACAATGTCTCGAGATTCCTCCTTCTCGTTGCCGTCACCATTTTTGCTTCGCGGCCAATTGGACTTGTTGATGTCGTGGAGGTTGTATTGCTGCTATCGAGTTTGCCTTCGTCGACTTCTTGCCGTGCAAATAAACCTTTTGCTGCTGTAACAATATGAGAAAACATAGAGAATCAATCGATCCCACTATGAATTCTAAACAATTAGAAATTGTGAGAAGTTAATTTTGCGCTCGGCGACGAGCAGATAAACTTGAAATTCAACTGATAAAATCTATCGGGGCAACTTTGATCCGAAGGCGGGACCGCAAGTGCCAATAATCTCATTGTCTGGGTTTCCACTCACTCACATTACCAGAGGAAGTGACATGAAGCAGTGCAACAGATCTGAACAAGATTTGGGAAAACCGGCACCAATATTAGGCAGTAATACAGTTTGCTTTAACTCCCTGAAGTTTAGGAAGGACTCGCAATTCACTTGAACAGGTATCTTTTATCATACAACCAACTCCGCCTGTAAATATAAGCATCAAACCCAGGATATATAGTTGAAAACTCCGTAACACCTTTTTCGATGCAACAAGAAGGCAGCGACGCTAGCCAGCCCATCATTGGGCAGCAATCATTTGATTGCGCTCCATGAGCTCCTCCTGTGCCCCCAGGAAGTCATCCTCACCTATATCACTGACTTCATCCCAGAACTTGCCATGTTCATCACCATCATCCCCACTGACTGTCCACATACTCTCGCGCAGCCTTTTATTCCGTTCGCGGTCTTCTTCAATCCGTTGCTCGATCTGCCTCTTGTCCACGCGTATGCCACTCGGCCTGGAGCCTCGCGGGGTTCCGCCTTTCGCTTTCGCAGCATTATCGACCTCCTCCTCGGCATCCAAGTCGAGATGCGCCACCTGAGCCTCCCGTTCCTTGAGCCCGGCGTCGATCTCAGCTACCGTTTCGGCTGAGAGAATATCTTTACTCTGGAGACCGTTGAGAACGCGCCGGACGTGCTTAACGTTTGCAGCTCCTGATCCATCCGGTGGTACGACGGCATCAACGACGCGTAGAATATCCCTTTGCATCATCCGGACATAGGGTGTGTGGTTTTCCTTGGTAGCCATTTCGCAGAATTGCTCGATGAAGTACATGATGTTGGCTCGATTATTCATGTTGTTCTAGACAGAGTTGTGTCAGAAGTGAGAGTAGCTTCCTGCACGACAGCAAAGACATACCCTTTCAAGTTGTTCCAAAATACAGGAATGGAGATCCTCATCCATGTCGCGGTATTTCAGCGCATAATGCGCTGCCTTCTGTGACGAGGTCACAGAGGCATTAAGATGTTGTAGCTGCGCAGTGAAGCGCATACGAACCTCAAACGGATCCGCCATCATGGTTGCGGTTCTGGAATTGTAGAAAGCTCCACTAGTCCGGCTGCCTCGAAAAGTGATCAGTCTCCGATAAGAGATAGCTGTAGAGAGGGTACCCCAGCAAAGATCTTTGGTTCCAGGCGGTGGATTTGTTCTGCCGGCAGAAAATGTGGGGTGATCCTCATGGGATCTGCAATAATATAAGCAGCATTGCCAGCGGCTCCCCCAGTACAAAACTAGATATCACAAGGTCACAAAGATGAAGATGTTTCTACTGAAGGTATACTGAAGGAATTGAATGACCAAGCACTCAATAGTTGCGTCACAATTCAAAACAAAGCAGATATCCAAAATCTCCTCTACAAGGGTATATATTTCGCTAAGTCCACGTCCATTCCGCAAAGATCAAATTGAAGGACGTCTATCCAGGGAACTGGCAAAACTTGTTCCGTCATCACTTTCAAGAAGACCTACCTCCTCGGCCGTATTTCTCTGTCTCAACGAACCAGTGTCTAGGCCTTTATCCTTGCGGGATTCTGCACCGTCAATGATAGACCAAACGTCCTTCTTAGTGAGTAGGCCTTGAAGGACGCCCTTGTTTGCAAAGAGGACATAGCGGAGGCCCAATCTCTGAAACATGCGTCGTACTATCAAGAAAGTCGTCCCACTGTTAAGTGTAATTGGCGTTTGATCCATCCAGGGCCGAAGGTCGAGAGTTTCACTAGGGTCTGCAAACGGCTGATGGGCGAAGAAGACCTGCGTCGAGCCCGGCAAATCACGATCCGCATGAGATGAGGAATATTTCAATGCATAAGATAGTTCGTTGCGTGAGATATATCCCAGAAGAAGAGGATTCGAAGAATCGGTAACGACAGGGAATCCCCGATATGAGGTGGCCATGAGAAGGTTGCGGAGGCTATCAATAGTATGTCCATTGGCAACGATGACCGTGAGGTCCTCGGCCTTTGTCATCACTCTATGAGCAGGTAAATCAGGGGAAGTAGTGTCGTCACGATGGTCAAGGAAGGGGTATTCCTTGAGATGGATCCAAGACTCGTAGATGCCACGTTTGCCGAAGATGTCACCGCACCATTTGGACAACATAACCGCAATCATAATAGGTATGACATATGTCAAGGCACCTGTGAGCTCGAACATGATCACAACAATTGATACCGTCATCCGCGTGGCGCCACCTAGAGCCGAAGCCGCTCCAACGATTGCATATATTCCTGGTGTCACACAAGGAATATCTGGCTCGCAGCTGTTGAAGAGGAAAAAATTTGGGTAGGCATTTTGCCACATCTTAAACATCGTTCCAAATGCGCGGCCGTACAAGGCACCAATGGCAACGGAAGGAAGAATAATACCAGCAGGTATGTCCAACCCAAACGTAAACGAGGCAAGGAAGAAGCCAAGAAGTGCGGCCATAAGCAAAAGGGTTATTGTACCAGCAGATGCAGCACCAGTCTTGCAAAGACCGAACAAATCATCGGATCCCGTGCTACATTCGGCAAACAGTGAGTGGACAAGCTCAGAATTCTGGGCTCTCATGAAGATATTCGGAAAGTTGATCAGAGCAGATAGAAGAGCAATGACCGTAACTTCTAATATTGGGCGAGACCAAGTTCGGGATCGTCGCCATTTCGCGACTTTCATGTTCAAGCGGATCAGAAATGCTCCATACAGACCACCAAGGATACCAAGGAGGATGAAAGGGATTATTTCGAAGCGATGCCATCCACGTGTATACTTCACTTCGTAGAGCACAATATTTCCTGTTCGAAATGGGTTAAGCGCTTGAAGAGTCATAGCAGCAACCATCGCACAGACAAAACTCTGCCACATGGTTTTATCGGGAAAGTAATACGACAATTGCTATCCTTCGTTAGATGAGGCGACGGTGGGGATATACATCTGAGAGTCATACCTCGAGACTGAATAAAACACCTCCAATGGGTGCACCGAATGCGACAGATATTCCTGCAGCCGCGGCTGCGGAAAGCACTTCACGTTTTCTCGCTATACCACTTAGTATGAGCCGCTGAATGCCGCATTGACCACATACCTTCGTTATGGTTCAAACTATCGAAGAACTTCATCATGACGTTGGCGCAACAGCATGCAACATGCACCAGAGGACCTTCTTTACCTAGCCACATCCCTGAAGCAACTGCTAGACACTTTTCCTCGATAAGCATTCAAGAAGCGGGACATGAAGAATGCACGGGATACCTACTAAGCCTAGGGATTTGATCGCGAGCGTCCAGGGTCCCATAAAATGCCTAATGACAAAGCCACCAAGTACTGTCTTAATTTCTGGAATACCACTGTGTCTTGCATATATCGCGTATGTTCTGACCAGAAAACTCGCGCAGACAGCGAAGACCACCTATCGTTTGTTAGTAAGTCTTTCAGAACAACCAGGAAAAGAGTCTTTATTACAGAGTAGAGGACGTAGAATATATATTCTACCGTATAGCCTCCGCTGGGAGAACGAACTCCAAGAGCTTTACGCCAGGGTGTCCAATCCAAGCACTCAGATATGTCTGATGGATATGCCGCGTCAGTTGCAGACGAGCACTGCTGAGAACAAATACCTTACCGTCATGACCCCAGCAACAAAAACTTCGATTCAGATAGAACTTGCCCCCTCCTGGTCCATTCTTGCAATAGCCCGTTTTCAGATCTCCTAGCCAGTCGCTCGTGATGTCGATGCATGCCGCAATAATACCAACGAGAACGCCTGTCGCTATTAAAACCACCCATACGTTACCGGCCTCCAGTAACCTGCGGGCATACCCTGCAAGGCCCGGTGCGCTCGAGTAGAGCAGTCTCTTTCTTTGCCGCTCTTTTGTATATTCAAAGATCCAATCGATGGCTGTAAGATCGTCGTAGCCTACTCGGCGCCCCGGCCCTTCCACATACCAATCCAAGAACCCTCCGTCTTTTGGTGCGTTAAAATTTCCGTTCTCATTTCGCGCTCTCGGCTGGCTCAAGGACGGATTAACACCCGGCGTCTGCGTCTGCTCGTTTCTTGTGTCCGTCGCCCGCAAAGGGATCGTGGATTCGTGTTCATCACTGGAAAACAGGCGCGTAAAACTGAACTTCGCAGGTTGCTTTTGCTTGCGCTTGAAAGAAATACTACAAATCGGGTCAGTCAGCATATGCGCAGCGTTAAAGAGCCGTAAGCCTCACGGTTCAGTTAGGCCTCCAGCCAGCGATTCGTTGGAATGATTCCGGAGGGTATTGTTATCTGGGTTCGATGACCGGTCGTAAACCTGCGCAGATGAGGACGGTCTTCCGGCTTCTGACCCTGAAATCGTTGTTGACATGACGAATCACGGAAGCATATCATGTCCACATCGCAGCTGTACCATCGCCCCTATCAGGAATTGAGCAATGAGAATCTCGGGTTGCGATCAAACAAGTCCTCGATATCGGAGATGTGGCGCAGACTCCGTATGGCCAAAGGCGGTGAACACACCTTAATCCGTTCCTTACCCTTGAGTACTACCTAGGTAATCGAGGAAAACAAAGAATCTGGAGTTTTGATTACAAGCTTTGTATCAGATCACCTTAAAGGAGACTCTTTGGCACCACCACTAGTATCTAATTCTGCCTTGTGCTCTCTAATGTCTAGGATAAAAATAAAAGCCATAATTGATGGGTATGACTGCTGGAAAACCGACCGCCGGACTATTACCTACAATCGCCAAGTGGATTGGACACCGCCTACTTTTCATGGACAAGCGTTTGGTACCACGGGGCAGGCGGTGAAAAAGACGGCCATTTTCTTCCGTAAAATAATATCGTGGTACTACAAATTTTTTGTCTATTCGTTCCATATCACCGGAGTTCCTCTGGCGGCAGGGTTCATAATGAATGAAAAACCTGCCTATGAGAGGCTTCTTAGTGAGTCCCAGATCCTTGAGCAGCTTCCGAATGAGCTTGCGGAACTCATTCGTACTGCTTCTGGGACTCAGTTCCTGAATGCGCTCGCGGTTAGCGCATTGAGGTCGAAATGCACAGAAAGTCTTTTCAGCATATACGAACCAATATTTGTTGATCTGGCAGCGCGATGGCTCTCGTCAGATCTCCATGTCGATAATTTCCAAATAATTTCTGCCTTTGCACGTATCTTACCGTTTGCGCCATATCTGCGATCTTTTGCCAGTCAATATGCCGCCTCGTGGGCTGGACCTCTTTCGGCTTTGGCTGCATCGAAAGAACAAAGTACCTTTCAACTGGAAGATGCTACCCTCCGCACACTACTCCTCGCTATATTCCGACTTTTGTCCTATGACCTTGATGTCTTCTCGACGACTGTATCGCCCTCACAACTCCAGTCCCTATTTCAGCATCGAGACCAGGCTATCAGATACCTAGCAGTACGGTGTTTTGCCTTATACATGCGTGCAGCTGATGCTGCCACAGAGAGAATGATTGGGGCCTATCTTGCAGATGGTCCGATTGAAGGACCATGGGAAGGCGTGGTGATCGATTACCGCTGCCTTGGTTTGTGGGAAGAGCGTCGGTGGAAGACCCTCGAGAAGCAGATTGAGCAAGTCAGATCGATTCGACAAATTTCGGACAGTTTTCTACTTGTCGAACCGTTGCGAGAGTACTTTACTGTGCGAACAGCCGAGGTCTGTGGTGTGTTGGTTCCTCGACTGCATGAATCACCAAGTTCACCCTCCTCGATTGTGAGAACCCCAACCGCCGTGGGCAATCTACGGAAGATTGCGAAAGCATTGCTTGCGCCTGAGCCCATCCTACTTGTTGGGCTACCAAACTCGGGCAAGACAACTTTGGTCAACGACGTCGCTGCGACAATGGGACAGCTAGAGTCTATGGTTACCCTTCATCTGAACGAACAAACAGACGCGAAGAGCCTCCTCGGAATGTACTCAACATCCCCGGCTACAGGTTCCTTTGCTTGGCAGCCCGGTGTCTTGACCAAGGCTGCAAGGGAAGGTCGCTGGATTTTGATCGAGGATCTTGATCGTGCTCCGTCTGAAGTCATCGGTCTCATATTACCCATCATCGAGAAGGGCGAGCTGACCATAGCTAGTAGAAAGGAACGCATCAAGTGCGCCGAGGGTTTCAAGATCATTGCAACCATGAAGTCAACCTATAATATTGCGGGCCAAGAGATTGCGCCAAACACCAATCTGTTGGGAAGCAGATTGTGGCAGAGAGTGCAAATAGACTCGCTTTCCATAGAAGAAATTCGAGAGGTGATCATCCGCAAATTCCCTCTTCTTGAATCTCGCGTTCCCGTTATCATGGATGTCTACCAAAGGGTCTGCTCCTCATTCCACGGAAGCCTTGCCATTAAAAGCTCCCAGGGAAGGACTCCGGGTCTTCGCGATCTGATCAAGCTTTGCAGTAGATTGCATATGCGACTGCAGCGACTGGGGGTCAAGACTGGCTATGAAGCAACACCCGAAGCTGTCGATGATGAGATATTTCTGGACGTTGTGGATGTCTTCCTTAGATACATTCCCGAGAAAACTTTGGCGGACTCGCTCGCATTGGTTGTCGCCGAAGCGCTCCAGATATCGCCACAACGGGCGCAATTCTGTCTTCATGAACGGACGCCAGCCTACTCAGACCATGGAAACAGCGTGACCCTTGGAAGGGAGATCTGCCGAAAGAATAAAGTACCCAGTGGATCAGCTTCAAAGCTTGCAGCTGCTTCCTCGCGCTTTGCATCGACTCGGGCGGCCTTGAAGCTGATGGAACAGGTTGCTGCCGCTGTGCAAATGGCCGAGCCTGTTCTTCTCGTCGGAGAGACCGGCATTGGGAAAACCACAGTCGTCCAGCAGCTTGCAAATTTGATGCGGCAGAAGCTCACGGTAGTGAATTTGTCGCAGCAGAGCGAAAGTACTGATCTGCTGGGTGGTTTCAAGCCTGTCAATATCCGTACCATGGCTGTCCCTATGCTCGATGAATTTCACACTCTCTTTGAATTGACATTCTCTGCAAAGAAGAACCAGAAATTCTTGTCTTCTGTTTCGAAAAGCGTTGCTGCGGGGAACTGGGTGCGTTTGGTCAATTTTTGGCATGAAGCTGTTCGGCTTGCCGACGGTGTGTTTAAACCAAGCAAGCAGAGTCAGGCCGGTGAGGAGGAGCAGCAGCCGACGAAGAAGAGAAAACTGGATTCGCCAAAGTACCAGCAGCTACGACTGAGATGGGAGAGATTTGCAGCGCAACTGAACGACTTTGAGGCACAAGTATCGCAAGGTGACGCCAAGTTCGCTTTCGCCTTCGTCCAGGGAAAGATCGTTCGTGCACTTCGCAATGGAGAATGGGTCCTGCTTGATGAGGTCAATCTAGCCTCACCAGATACTCTCGAGAATATCGCCAGTCTTCTGCATCATGGTAGCGAAGGTTCTCCATCTGTTCTGCTATCCGAAGCTGGCGATGTGGAACGGGTTTTTGGCCATCCTGACTTTCGCATATTCGGTGCCATGAATCCCGCAACTGACGCTGGAAAGAAAGATCTTCCTCCTGGACTCAGATCTCGTTTCACGGAAGTATATGTACAATCTCCCGATACCGACCTGGACGATTTGCTCGCTTTGATTCAGAAATACCTGGGTGACCTAACAATAGGCGACTCAAGGGTCGTGTCGGACCTAGCGCAGCTTTATATGGAGACCAAGAAACTCAGCAACGAGAACAAACTCACTGACGGAGCTGGACAACGGCCTCATTTTAGTATCCGAACCCTCGTTCGTGCACTCATATATGTCCTCGAAAATGCTCATATATATGGTTTGCGCCGGGCGATCTATGAGGGCTACTGTATGAGTTTCTTGACCGTTCTAAGCCAAGAATCCGAGCGGCTGCTCTTGCCTCTTCTTGAGCGGTATGTCTTTGGCAATGCGAAGAATGCTAGGGCACTACTAGGACAAACGCCCAAACCACCGAATGATGGGAATCCGTATGTGCAGTTCAAACATTATTGGATGCGCCAGGGCAATATGGTCCCAGAGGAACAACCCCATTACATCATCACTCCTTTCATCGAGAAGAATCTCAAGAATCTCGTTCGAGCGAGCTCCACTCGTCGGTTCCCAGTGTTGTTGCAGGGTCCCACCTCAGCGGGTAAAACGAGCATGATAGAGTATCTTGCCAAAGTATCGGGAAACAAGTTCGTTAGAATCAACAATCATGAACACACCGATTTGCAGGAGTATCTTGGTTCCTATGTCTCTGGTGATGATGGAACTTTGCGTTACCAGGAAGGTGTGCTGGTTGAAGCACTGAGGAACGGATATTGGATCGTTCTTGACGAACTTAATCTTGCACCATCGGACGTCTTGGAAGCATTGAACAGACTTCTAGACGACAACCGCGAACTATTCATACCCGAGACACAGGAAGTCGTTCACCCGCATCCGAATTTCATGTTATTCGCGACACAGAACCCGGCCGGCTTGTATGGTGGCCGGAAAGTACTGTCTCGCGCGTTTCGAAATCGATTCCTCGAGTTGCATTTCGACGATATCCCAGAGAGCGAGTTGGAGTTCATCTTGAAAGAGCGGTCACAGATTGCGCCATCATTCTGCACCAGGATTGTGTCTGTTTATCGAAAACTTTCCCTTCTGCGCCAAGCGAACCGGCTATTTGAACAGAAAAACAGCTTTGCCACTCTACGTGATTTGTTCCGATGGGCTCTGCGCCGGGCAGACGACCGTGAACAACTAGCCATCAATGGCTTTATGCTGCTTGCAGAACGCGTCCGCAATCCACAAGAAAGGGCGGCTGTCAAGGCAGTCATTGAGGAGGTCATGAAAGTTCCCATTGATGAAGACACAATCTACAGTGCTGCTGAATTGGAAAAGCGCGCTCCTAACCTGAAGGAACTGGCGCCTGGCATTGTTTGGACAAAAGCCATGCGACGTCTCTTCGTCCTGGTCTCAGTGGCTCTTGAGAACAACGAACCCGTTCTCCTTGTTGGAGAAACCGGGTGCGGTAAGACGCAACTTTGCCAGGCAGTTGCAGACATTTGTAGGAAGCAATTGTTCATCGTCAATGCTCATGTGAATTTGGAAACTGGGGATCTAATAGGAGCTCAAAGACCAGTTAGGAACAGAGCGGCGATCGAGACTCAACTATTCAATGACCTTCGAACCGTTGTCAACGCAGGCGATGCTGAGCCGGAATCTCTTGACGAGCTGAGGACCATTTTCAGTGCTATGACCGCTGAACAATTAGAAGCATGCGATTCTGAAATAGTTCGACGGATTCAGAAGAACATTGCTCGCTTGAACGCCCTGTTCGAATGGTCTGACGGTAGCCTTATAACAGCCATGAAGACTGGACAATTCTTCCTTCTTGACGAGATTTCTCTCGCTGATGATTCGGTATTAGAGAGACTCAACAGTGTTCTTGAACCGCACAGGTCGATACTTCTGGCGGAAAAAGGCCCTATTGATTCAATGGTCGTCGCGCACGAGGGATTCCAGTTCCTTTCGACCATGAATCCTGGAGGAGATTACGGAAAACGCGAGCTTTCAGCTGCTCTCCGAAATCGAATGACTGAGATCTGGGCCCCTCAGCTCTCGGAGGATAATGATATCTTGCCCATTCTTAGAATGAAACTCCGAACGGAGTCAGAGGATCTCCCCAAAGCCATGTTGCGGTTTGCGAAGTGGTTCAAGACAACCTTCCAGAGTTCCTCGATTACGTCCCTCTCTATCCGAGATCTCCTCGCTTGGGTAGATTTCGTGAACAAGTGTCAAACGACAGATCTCAAATTCTCGATTGTTCAGGGTGCGGCAATGGTGTTCGTGGACACCCTTGGTGCCAACCCTGCTGCAATGCTCGCTGCTTCGTTGCACGATCTTGAGAAGAACCGCCAGCTTTGTCTTGAAAAGCTTCGTGAACTCTTTGGCGTTGATGCTTCCAGCATTTACTTCCAAAAGTCGACAATTGAGCTTGAAGATCGTGCACTGCGTGTAGGACCTTTTGACCTGCCTATCAATGGGGATGCAGCACCTGATCCGCAATTCATTATGGATGCCCCTACCACGATTGCCAATTCGGTCAGAATTGCACGCGGTCTGCAACTGCCAAAGCCTATTCTCCTTGAGGGTAGCCCTGGTGTTGGCAAAACAACCCTTGTTACTGCGCTTGCTCGAGCCCTTGGGAAGCCACTCACGCGTATCAACCTTTCCGAACAGACAGACCTCACCGACCTTTTTGGATCCGATGTGCCTGTAGAGGGCGGCGATGTCGGTCAGTTCACCTGGCGTGATGCACCATTCCTGCAAGCCATGCAGCGCGGTGACTGGGTTCTGCTGGACGAGATGAATTTGGCGTCCCAGTCCGTTCTTGAAGGGTTGAACTCTTGCCTTGACCACCGTCAGACGGTTTATGTGGCTGAACTTGACCAGACTTTCAGCAGACACCCGGATTTTGTCCTCTTCGCTGCACAGAATCCCCATCATCAAGGTGGCGGAAGAAAGGGACTTCCCGCATCTTTTGTCAATCGTTTCACCGTGGTATATGCCGATAGTTTCACCCAGACCGACTTGAAAAAAATCTGCGCCAAATTATTCCCTGGTAGTCCCCCTTCGCAAACCGATGGATTGGTGGACTTTGTTTCTCTCTTAAATGTGGCCATCAACCAGGAACGCAGGCTAGGGGCTGTTGGTGGACCGTGGGAGGTCAACTTGCGCGATATTCAAAGGTGGCTCCAGCTTGCAGATCGAGGCGATCTTCAAGTGCCAGCAAACAATTTCCTTGATGTCGTCATTTCCCAGAGATTCAGGAGTGAAGAAGATAGGCAGTTGGTTTCGCAGCTCTATCAACGAGTCTTTAAGGATGCTCCAACTGTTGCCAAAAGCCTTTACCACAATCTTACCCAAGAGTATTTCCAAGTCGGGTTTGGAGTGATGCGTAGGGATCCTTTTCTTCAGCAAATACCTGGGACCCAAATGAAGATATTCCCGGGCGACCTGCCGATCCTGGAGTCTCTCATGCTTTGCATAGAGCAGTCATGGCCGAGTATCTTGGTGGGTCCATCAGGCTGTGGCAAGACCACTCTGATCAGAAAACTTGCTGCATTGAACGGTGCCGATTTAGTTGAATTGGCCCTGAGCGCTGATACAGACACAATGGATTTGATTGGAGGATTCGAGCAGATTGACTACAAGAGGGAGGTTTCATCTCTTGTACATGAGCTTTCGCTGTACCTTCGCCGCCATCTTATTTCTGCATCCTCAGCGACCGAGAAGTCAGACGCATTTCCAGCCTTCCTCGAGCTATTTGAGCGGTTACAGGGCTCAGATATCTCGCTGGACTTTGTGTGTTCATCCCTCCCTGTCGTGATGCAGCTTCATCCTCAAGAGGCCCTTGGAGACTTCCTTCAGAGAGCACAGCACTTAATGGAACTCTCTAAGCAGTCCAGTAAAATGAAGGTTGGTTTTGAATGGACGGAAGGTGTCCTCACGCAAGCTGTCCAGCAGGGGCATTGGGTTGTTCTTGATAATGCCAACCTGTGCAACCCTTCTGTCCTCGATAGGCTGAACTCCTTGACCGAACCCAATGGAGCCTTGATACTCAATGAGCAACGTACCGAAGATGGCTCTGCAAAAATTGTCAGGCCCCATTCGAACTTCCGCCTGTTCCTGACGATGGATCCTCGTCACGGCGAGTTGTCTCGTGCAATGCGAAATCGATGTGTCGAGGTTTGCTTTCTACCTTCGGAGACTCCCAAATCAGCCCACAGATCCATCCCTGCTTACACCTACCAGTCGTCTCTGTACCGCCTGAGGCATATCTGGGACTTCAATCAGCTTCAGGATAGAGGCGAGCTTCCTCGGCTCCTCTGTGAATTGGGAATAGACCATCTCTCGGTCGAGGATCTGAGAATTATCCAACAATCCTCAGAAATGACATCAGCGGGCTTGTTCGACTTCTCCGCGGGAGAATCTTTGCCCTCGATGCTAGACCGATATGTTCCTGTTGTCCTCGAAGATTCCTCCTGGGAGCCTTCTACTTTTTGCAAAGCGCAAGCCGTCAACTTGAGCGGTGCTTCCTTTGCCGTTCATGGCCAGTTTCAGCCTCTTCATCCTCTCGTGAATGAGCCGCTCGCTTTGATTCTGGGACAACATGCGACCCTATCACGGCTCATGGTTTTGGCTCATTTGCAAGAGTGCAAGCTCAATCTCCATCGCCTAAGACAAAGCTTGTTGCGTGCTGATGAATCAGCCAAACTCCTCAAACCGAGCCAGATGAGTTCTCTGGAGAGATCCCTGGCATCAAGGCGGATAGCTTCACTGATGAAGGATGCAACGCAACCTATCGGCTCTTTCCTCGCCGACTGCGGGCAAGCGGTCTATGATTTCATACATAGCTTAGACCGCCAAGTGCTTGATACCCCCGAGGCTGTGCATGCTCTTCGTGCTGTTGTCAGCTTCTGTGCTGATCTTCTCAGAATCTCTGGAGATGGTCGAGTTGATGAAGGCGAATTCCAAGTCTATCTACAAATTGGAAAGGAGCTGTTCATTTTCTTGTTCGATTCTTGGCCACCGCTGAAGTCCGTAGCAGTGGCATTGTCTCAGTGTCTTGGTCGTTTCCAGGAGAACTGGGCTTTGAAGACAGGACTCAGTATGCAAAGGCTATGGGAATCCTGGCGGCCAGCCACTCCCGCCACTCAGGAGCAGCTGAGGTCGAAGCTGGACCTCGAGAAAGTGGCAGCCGAGTTTACGGACCTTGCTCTCAAGACCCATCTGGATTTAGCCCAGCTGAGCCGGGTACGCAATTCCCTTGTGGACGCTCAGAGAACCATCCTGTTGGACGGTGCCGACGAAGGACAGCTAGTTGAGGCACTTAAGCAGACGGTGATGGAATTGGCAAAGGTGGTGCAGGCTTCTGATTCGGCTCAGTCGCCTTACTTCATGAGCGAATTTGAAGCCTTGTGCCAATACCACGATCTGTCGTCGATACAGCATATCGGAGATAAATCTGATCCGATAGTCAGTTCGATTCTACCATTGTTGGCTGGTCGTCAAGCGCGGCCCCTCGACACATCAAGTCTTCAAAGTCAGATTCCCGGTGTTCTCCATAAACTCTCTCTGTTTGCAGGGTCTAGCCAGCCCTCCATGTCGGGCTCCGCGATCAATGGCATTTTCTCTCTATCGCTGTTAGAGAAGCTGACGTTCGTCGGAACCACCAATCTGGGCCAGATGGATAGCTTGGAAGTGGAAAAACGAACTCTTTCCAAAGCCGTAACTCTGACGTCGCGCGAGATCTCCATGGACCAGTATCAACTTCTTAGACAAGTCTTATCGGCGCTCGTCGCTGAACTTCTCACCATGCATAAGGAATTCATTGAGCCAAAGTCTCTCGAGAGCGTTCTGACTTCGCTTCGCGAGATCCAAGAACAAGGATGGTGCAATTCATCGGATCTGCCAGCGGTCGTATTAGATCAGAGCTTGTCTGAAGATCATTACTTTGAACCAATCGTCAAGGATGCCGTTCCAAGATTGATCGCTTCGTTGATGACAGGCCCGACGCATACCGAGAGGTACATCGAGGAAACTGGATTGGCGTTGGTTCAGCTGGCCAGTCTGCTGCTGCAATTATTCGTGCCTGATAAACCATTCGATCCCTCTCTCAGTCTGACTGTGCAGAGACGAAGGCACACACAGCGTGTCATAGAGCTGACAACAAAATCCGAAGCTTTAACTGTGTTTGAGCAGAGCTTCTCTGGGCGATCTTCCACCATGCGGCAGGACATTATACAGCAAGAACTACGAAGCCTGGGCTCCGCCCCGCCTCCGTCTCAAGTTACTCGGCCGCCGGTCTCTGAAATCAGTATCTTGCAGGGAGAATTCTCCAGCTTGCTCTACTCTGTTTTGAACAGGTGCACCGAACTCGATGTAACGGCAGCGAAAAGAAATGACTCCGAAGCAGAAAGAATGCTGACTCTGCTTCGCGAGAATATCCGGCAGCTCACGCAGCGTTTGAGCACGAATTACAGATCTTACGACGATATTACTGTGCTTGTCGTCCGATTCCTTGAAATTCTGGATCTGGGTCTTTCCCTTCAGTCCGACCAAACCCAACAGTCAAGTGACTCTCGGATCTTGCAGGCAGTCAGCAAGAGGACACCATTCCTTGGGGGCACTGTCTATCCTGTTTCAGCGTTGGAAAGCCAAACGTCACCAGCGAACCAAGCTCATTTTGTTGAATTGCGCTTCCATGAACTATCTTCCCTCAGAATTGCCGCTAATACAGATCCGGATGTCCTTCAGAGCGAATCTGGGCGCCATGCGCTTCACCGGATACTCGAACAATTCCATATCTTATGGAAAGCCAAGCTCCGTGAGGATCAAGAGGAAGAAGCGCGTAAATCCGAGTTGTACCGTTATCGAGGCTCATGGGAAGATGAGGAAGAGGTCGATCAGAATGAGTTGAACCAGCTTTTCCCTACTTACGAAGTTGACTCAGCTGAAGATGATGGGAAAGTCACCCGGATTGATCCAAAGGCTGTTTCGGTCCGGCTCGCTACACTGCACGCTAAGCTCTTCCAGTCTGAAGATACTAAGACAGCCTTGTCGGATTATGTCAAGCAGTCTACCAAGCTGCTGGGGTCCATATGGTCTGCAGGCCATTCTTCTAAGTCTCATATTCGCCCAAGCGAACATCTTTCTGGAGCTCTTCTACTTCTTGAGGATACCATGCACGCCGGAGATCGCAGTCCATCTGGCAAATATAACTTCTACACCGATGCAAATTTCTCTGAAGCGAGAAGACTAGTCTCTCTGACGCTCTCCGTCAAGTCCCGTTTCCTTCAGATCCAGCAGGCCTGGCCGGAGCATGCAGTGCTTCAGGACGTTATTATCTGCTGCAAAGAGGTGCTCCAATTCAAGCATACGGAACCCGTCGCGAAGTTTCTCACAAAGGTTGAGAAACTCCATGCGCTTGTTCATGAGTGGCAGCTTGTGGCAAGCAGGGAGTATTCAGCAGCTTCTCATTACGACGAGATCACCAATCTGATCATCAGCTGGCGCCGGCTGGAAMTGTCAACTTGGGCCAAACTGCTCGATCTAGAAAAAGAGAAGTGTGCTCAAGATGTGAGCTCATGGTGGTTCGTTGCTTACGAAGCAATTATTGCAGCCCCCATTCAGCTTGCAGCATCTGGTCAAGCCGAGTTGAGCGACCATATTCAAGGCGTCGTCTCTACGCTGGAACAGTTCTTCATGTCGACAACTGTCGGGCAATACAGTGAACGACTCAGACTTGTGGCTAATTTCCAGTCACTGCTTGCACTCTACGTTCTCGATTACCCAGCTCTGGAACAACTCGTATCTGCATTGGGCAATTTCCTCCAACACTTCAGACCGTTCGAGCCTGCAGTGCACAAGTCGATGGAAGACCGCAGGGCCGCCATTGAGAAGGACATCAAGCAACAGATTCAGCTGGCTAGCTGGAAGGATACAAACATCATTGCTCTCAGGGAGAGTGCCCGGCGATCACACTTCAGACTGTTCAAACTCGTTCGAAAGTATCGTGAAGTTTTGGCACAGCCTGTGCAGCCGATTCTACAGCAGGGAATGACAAACGAACCGGATGAACCGAACATTTCCACAGATGAGGTCGTTTTGGCATCGACAAGCTTCCCCGATGCTCTTGCTTTGTGCCAGGAAGAACCTACAATATGGCCGAGCAGACCACCCAGATTCCGAAATGCGGATAGCACAGCAGGGAACATGACCGATCTGTATTCTTCAATGCCTAATGAGTTTGACGTCTCAGAGGATCTCGACGGCTTCGTCAAATTCTTCATTGAGAGCATCAAGGAATTTAAATCGCAGACTCCCAAAGTGCTGACTGAGGACAACAAGGATGATGTCCAGCATCTCAAGGTCCAGAAGCGTCGTTTCTATGCAGACACATTGAAACGGCTCCTGGAAATGGGTATCAAACGCAATGCAAGCACTAACTTGATTGAGAGCCAATCCTCCATTGCTCAGGTTCTCGCTACCACCCCAAGTTTGGAAGTTGGGAGCTCGGCATCGCATCTCATCAAGGGCTCCGATCTCTACTTCCACCGATTCTTGGATCTGCTGCCTCGCGTGCGTCAAGCGTCTCGCGAGTACTCTGAAGATCTCAGTAATGTCGAGATCTCAAGGAGCGTTGGCACTGTGGAGCATTTGATGTTCTTGATAAGGAAGCAGCGCGGGGTCATTTCTCCGGCACTGTCGCATTTGGAAATGATGAAGTCAACGATTATCAAGATGTCTAATCTCTGGACTTCTGGACCTGCCTCCCTCTGCAAGTCTCATTCGGATCTCTCGAAGGACAGACAAGACCTCAGGAGAGCGGTGGCATGGCTTACTCCCATACTTGGCCTCGCTGCGGAAATCGTGCAACTACATGCCAAGTTCTCTGAAGTTGATGCCTCAAAGGTTTCTGATGGCCTGCACGCTTGGAGATCCACGTTTAGTCGGTTGAAGTCATCACTAGACAATATTCCAGAGTTACCTTCTGGCCTGACTTCTCGGCAATATAAGGATGTCCTGGAAGAGGTGTCGACTTCTCTTGCGAGCTTGAAGGCTGATGTCTCGAAATGGGCCGCTGAACGTCCTGATTTGGCTTTCGCATTAACACAGATTACCCCATGGGCGGAGGCCAAGGGAGATACGACTGCTAGGACCGACAGCGAGGATAGTCTCGCTATCCAGGAATTTGACGCAAGACTCCTTGCAGCAATTGACAAGATCTTGGTCAGTCTTCAGAAACTTAAAGACGTGCCTGCTTCCCTTGCCTCCACGGGCTCGCTGTCGCGGAGTGATGAGTTCTTCACGAGGGCAATGAAGGCTGTCCGCTTGTCTGATGTTACTTCCTCCCTCGAATCCGTCCTCGACACCCTGCAACATTTGCAAGCCAGCACCAGCAACACTTATGCGCTTGCCTCTGCATTGGTGGCGAGCTTATTGCCCATCACAAACCGGTACTTCTACATCTGCAGAGACATCATTCAGCGGTTTGTGTCGGTGCACAGGGAGACTTGCAAAATGACGTACATCCTCGCGAAATCGTTCACGCAGATAGCCTCGGAAGGTTTCTGCACCCCGGCGGAGGCATCTGCAGAAGAGAGCAAGTCTGGAAAGTTGGAAAGTGGAACCGGCCTTGGCGAGGGTGAAGGCGCTGAAGATATTAGCAAAGACGTCGGGGATGACGAGGACTTATCTGAGCTTGCTCAGCAAGAACAGAATGAGAAGCCCTCGGAGGACATGGAGGATTCTGCGGAGGCAGTGAACATGGATCATGAAGATATGCAAGGCGAAGAGATTGACCGAGAGGCGAAGGACGAAGAAGATGAGGATGCCAGTGGCTCGGAAGGAGAAGATGATATCGACGAGGAAGTAGGCAGCGTCAACGACATCGACGACACGGCAGTGGATGAGAAGATGTGGGATGGCGATCATGATGAGAAGCAGAAAGAGACAGAGAACGAACAAGGCAAGGGAGCAGCCGGATCCGATGAGCAGACAGCAGCGCAGGAAGAAGAAAAGACTCAAGAGAAGAGTGACAAGGATGCAGAACAGGAGGGCGAGGAGGAAGAGAACGAATCAGATGAAGAAGCCCCTGAGGATGAAGGCGAGGCTGTTGGACGAGAGGATATGGAAGTGACGGACCCTCATGCCAAGGAAGAAGAGGCGCTTGACCTACCTGAGGAGATGCAACTGGACGGCGAGGAAAAGGAGGATGACGGCGTCGAAAGTGACGACGGAATGGACGATATGTCGGATTTCGGTCCTGCGCCTGCGGAGGACGAGCAACAGGCTGAAGGAAACGAGGACAATGCCGAAAATCCAGATATGGATCATCCAGCTGACGAGCAGGAGCCTGACCAGGTAGATGAAGAAGCCATGGAGGACCAAGAGGCCAACGAGGCTGAGGGAACCGACGAAGCCAATGCAGCGGAGGAGGAAGAAGCAGAGGAGGCTCAGCAGGAAGAGTTCTTGACTCAACATGATGACAATGAAGCTGCTGGCGAGGAGGTTGCTCCTAGCGAAGCTGTTAACGGTGGCCTTGGCGCAGATCAAGACCAAGACAAAGAGCAAGGCGCGTCCGGCAATGCTCAGCAGGACGAAGGCTCGACCGATCCGGCCGCAAATGCAGAACAGCCAACTGGCGGTGCCAAGGAAGGAGAGGACAGCCAACGCAAGAGGGATGCAGGCGGTGCTGATGATGTGAGCCCCGAAGATCCTCAATTACAGGCGTTCAAGAAGTTGGGAGATGTTCTTGATGAATGGCATCGGAGGAGAAAAGAGATTATGGACGCTTCCAAGCAGGAGGATGATGATGATGAGTCGCGGAAACCCTTGCCGGAGGATACAGATATGGCCGATGCTGATTTCGAGCATCTTGCGGACCAAGACGATGTTGCCGATACGCAGGCACTAGGACAGGCCAGTGAAGAACAAGCAAAGGCTTTGGACCAGAACAAGGGAGTGGAGTCAGACGTCAAACCTGGCGATAATGATATGTTACCGGATGCTGGAGAGGAGCCGCAAGATCTTGCGGAGGAGAATAGATTGGAGGACGACATGCAGATAGATGGAGAAGGGGTTCCTACCGAAGGCCAAACCGCGGGCGCATTGATCCCCGACAGCTCCCGCACACAGCAGCGAACAACGGACGCTACCGGTCAACTTGAGGTTAACGAGGAGCTTGATGAGGTGGACGCCCATCTTGCGGCAATTCACCTGTCGTCCGCGCTTCCGCCACTGACTCCAAGGGACGAAGCCCAGCGCCTTTGGTCGCACTACGAAAATGCCACAAACGCCCTCTCTCTATCTTTGACGGAGCAACTACGTCTAATCCTGGCCCCCACACTTGCTACAAAGCTGCGGGGCGATTTCCGGACAGGGAAGCGGCTGAATATCAAGCGTATCATTCCATACATCGCTTCACAGTACAAGCGTGACAAGATCTGGATGCGACGGTCCATTCCCTCCAAGCGCAACTACCAAATCATGCTTGCGGTCGATGACAGCAAGTCCATGCTGGAGAGCGGCAGCGGGCAGTTAGCGTTCGAGACACTGGCGCTAGTCGCGAAGAGTCTGTCGATGCTCGAAGTAGGCGACCTGTGTGTGCTCGGCTTCGGTAACGAGGATCACGTCCGAGTCGCCCACGAGTTCGGCAAGCCTTTCTCCTCGGAAGCTGGAACACAAGTATTCCAACATTTCAGCTACCAGCAGACCGGCACGAACGTGCGCAAACTGATCGCCGATTCTATCGCCCTCTTCCGCGAAGCTCGCTGGAAACAATCGCCCGCAGGCGGCAACGCCGACCTGTGGCAACTGGAGCTCATCATATCCGACGGTATCTGCGAAGATCATGATACCATCCGGCGCCTTGTGCGTCAAGCTCAAGAGGAGCGGATCATGATTGTATTCATTATCGTTGACGCCGTCAAGGGCAGCTCAATCTTGGACCTCAGCCAGGCGAGCTTTGAGCCTGATACGGAGAGTGGAACTGGGGAGATGAAGTTGAAGATGAAGAGATACCTGGAGGGGTTCCCCTTCCCATACTACCTAGTTGTGCGTGACGTTCGGGAGTTACCAGCTGTGCTGGCTACGGCGTTGAAACAATGGTTTGCAGAGGTTGTTGATGTATCATCTTGAGATTTAGGCATGGTTATGGTAAATAAAAGAGGTTGGGCATTTTGTTTATATGGTTGATTTCATTTGTATAGATAGCATCTCATGTATAGTTGATGACTTTCGAAGCGGTTCTTAAGTCATCATTCAGAGCATTTCAGACGAGATCAAAATATAATTCTTTTAGTCTGAACAATAAATCGCGGATATATTGGTATCTATAGACTACTTCAAGAGAGACTTGCGCACACAAATGAAAGAGAGTACGTGAAGTTCACCATCCATACTTCGACCCGGCTTCCTTTTTGTTCCTTCGTCCAGCGGCAAAGCTCTCCTCCAAAGCCTCCCGTTGGGTGCTGGCCGCATTGACCAGCTGCTGCAGAGTGTGTTTGCCCGGGGCAATGGCGCGAACAGGATTGTGCTGAGCAGCAGCAAGGTCTGTCTGATGGGCCAACTCCTGGTTGGCAATGTATTCCTTGTCGGTATTGAAATGCAGAATTCGAGATTTGGTAGGGTCGGCATTGCGTCCAAAGAGCTGTCGTCGTTGGGCCCGGGACAAATTGAGATCGTCTGCGATGTTATCCAATGTTTGATTGGTCGGTGGCTGCGACGAGGCCGTCGCCGTTTCAGGCTCCGGCTCTGGGCCAGCTGGGGTGGCTTCTAGGTCGGTAGTGTACACCAATGGCTCGTAGGTAGCGGCTTGTGCTTGTGGTTCGGGCATACTCGAAGTTGTCGTTTCTTCTGTGGACAGGGAGAACAGACTGATTTTCGGTTTCTGAGGGACGGGTGGCGTTGGCTGTGCAGCCGAGAGTTCATTGGACGCTTGCGAGGATTGCAAAACTGTCGTCTCGCTCGCGGTTGGCAAAGCAGATGACGAGGCAGGTCTTGCCGGTTGCTTCTTTTTCTTCTGCGACGCCCGCCCCACGGACAACGGTTTGAACATCATCGGGTTCCCCTTCAGCTTGACCTCCTCTTTCTTCTCTCCGTCTACCAGAGCCGTCACGGCATCGTTGTCGCCAGGCTGCTCACTTCGAAGACTCCCCGGCTTGGGTATCGTCTCATCATCACCATCGCCTGCTAAGTTATCGAACGCCTGTTCCCTCCGAAACTCCGCATCAGCCTCGCGGTCAAAACCTGGAGTCGCGCCCGTCTTCAAGCTGAAGACCTTCCGCGCTGGCGCAGCCGTCTTCTTATCCTTCTCCGCTGTGACGTTGGTCCTCTTCGGAGGCGGTAAAAGGGCATTGAAGCCCGAAAATGCTCCGCCTCCGCCTATCTTAACTCTTTTCCGGGCTGGCTCGTCTTCACCATCTGCGGTAGGGTTCTCGGGTTTGATCTCCGGTAGAGCAACGCGGATCTTGCGGGGGTTACTGCGGTCGACGACGAAGTTTGCGCCGGAGGAGGGCTTGGGCGGATTCACAGGCGTGGGAGCTTGACTTTTGTTCGATGGTTGAGTGACTTTGGTCTCTTGCTCTGAGTCTGAAGCTTCAGAGTCCGAGTATGATACGAGAGCCATTTTGGGTTGGACTGGCTGGATGTTTGTCTTGATAAGAATGTAGAAATGCGTTGAGGAAGATGGCGATAGGGCCGGGCATGATAGACAGTTCCGCACGTGCCTTAACGAAAAATTGTTGATGCCTGAATTATATGGTGTCATTATCGACAACGCCATGCTATCATCTTGCTGCCATATCTTGCCAGGCACAGCTCAAGGGCATATTACCTCCTAATCACGATAACCTCTGCTGCTTCAGTAATCTTAGATAAATTCGCATCTGACTCAGGCAAGTACAACTGTGTTGCTCACATTGATTAGGTCTAGGCGATCAGTTCTAGCCACTGATGCCACTGATCCGGGCTATCAACTTACTCTTATCACGGAGTAGCTTCACGCAGGCAGCAGCAGTTCGCGACATAATTTAAAAGGTCCTGATCGGAGCGTCTGGACTGCGGACCAGACCGACTAACCTATCGTGCCGTTTGTCCTCATCCCAAAAGGTATTATTGCGATGACATCATAAACATGAGGAGGGACAGCTGAGGATCAGATAAGATAAGAATGACTAATCACATATTGGCGTCTGTGAAGAGAAATCGCAACATCTTCAGCTCCTTCCACCATGCTCGTCAGAATCCCCTCTCATCTCAGCAAATGCACGACACATTTTAACATACCCTGATATCTATGCGCAGCTGATAATGAAACGACGCCATGGACACAGCGACCGCCGCAGAAAATGGTCGAGAACCACAGGCATCCCCAAAGGATCCTAGTGCAGAAAACGAATACACCCGTCCAGCCACAGGCAAATTCCGCTTCAAATCCTCAACATCCAAATCCAGATCCAAATCTTACCGAGACGAACCATACGACACCTCTCACCACCGCCGCCATCACTGCCATTCCCACCGCCACCACCGCTCCTCCAAACGACACAAATCCAAGCGCTCACCCTCCCCCAATCCCCCAGATAACCCATCACGCCTCTCCCCCGACACCGCCTTCCGCGAGTCCCTCTTCGACGCTCTCGGCGACGATGAAGGTGCTGCATACTGGCAGTCCGTGTACGGACAGCCAATCCACAAATACCCAGTCCCATCCGTCCCCAAGGGTCCGGACGGCGAGCTGGAGCAGATGTCCGAGGAGGAGTACGCGGCGTATGTTCGGAGTCGGATGTGGGCGCGGACGAGGGAGGGGATGGTCGAGGAGCAGGAGCGCCTGCGCGCCGAACGAGCGCGGCAGAAGAGACGCGAAGAGGAAAGCGCAGAGAGCCAGCGCGAGAGGATGCGGTTCGAGCGCGCGATGGAGGAAAGTCTCCAGCGCGGCCGGGAGCGACGGCGCCTCAAGGTGTGGAAGACAGCCTGGGACGAGTACCGGCGTGCCTGGGAGGAGGTTAATCAAGAAGTAATCGTGGGTGCGGGCGAGCGCAGGGCGTTTCGGAATCTGGTCTTTTGGCCGGTGGAGTCGGGGAAACGGAGGGATGTTTCGCGTGAAGCGGTGGAAGAGTTTATGCGCCATGCGCCAGTGGAGGTCTCTGGGGTGGGGGACGATGATGGGGCACACGGCACAGCTGGCCTGCTTGCGGTGCTCAAGTCTGAGCGGATACGCTGGCATCCGGATAAGATCCAGCATCGATATGGTGCGCTGGGGATCGATGAAAGTGTGATGGCTAGTGTGACCGAGGTCTTCCAGATCATCGATCATATGTGGAATGAGACGAGGGCGAAGCAGTCGTAGACTGCTGGGGATCTTTTTAACGTGGCAAGATGAGAGTTTAGAGCAGMATTTTCTCGGCGTTTTTGATAGCATGATACCCTACAGTCCATAGTACTCATCGCGATTACATTTATTCATATTATTTCCATTCCATAGTCACGCGCTCAGGAAATAGCTCATCAATTTCTTGCTTCATATCAAAACGACTGTAGAAACCCGCAACTAGACATATATGACACGGCTATGCAATTGCGCAAATAATCAGAAACAAAATCTGACTCCGTAGACATGTTTTTGTAATTTTCCTTTTGCATTTTTCGTGCTTTCGTCCTTCCAACTAAAATCGCGAGTAACGCTGCTTGGTCCGGTACATGGTGAAACCGACATACGCACCGACGACGGCAGCAAGGAACAGCATAAGCTTAAACAGGAACCAACCCCAGCCGCCTTTCTTCTTGGGCACCTTCACGTGGGCCCGGTCTTGTCTGCCATTGCTTGCTGGGCCACGGCCGGAGCCGGCGGCGGCGCTGCCTCCGATGCTGTACAGGTTCTGAGCCTTGACAGAGATGATGTCGTGGTTGTCGCTCAGTTCTCCAGTTTCGGCAGAGAAGCCCAGATAGGAAACGGCAGGGATGGCGATATTGGTCTCGGGGGCGTTCAGGGTGAAGCAGTTGGTCCAGGTGTCCTCAGACTTGTACTGCAAGTCTAGGGTCAGAGACTTGTCCTGGAAGTATGTCAAGCGCGCCTTGGTAGGAATTGAAGCGCCGCGCAGACCACGAGCCTGTCATAAACTTGTTAGCGCAACAGAGATTGACGCGGAGAAAATTAGGTACACTCACCGAACAGCCAGCGACTTCGTTGGCCTTTCCATCATGGGCCTGGTCATAAGGCGTCTTCCCGTCACCCATCATAGCCATGACGTAGGGGAATGACGTTCCGGGACGGTTATTCTTGTACGTATCGAAGAAGATACCCAGTCCTTCGAAGTTGTCTGTCGAGCCGAAGACAGGGCCCTGGGTTGCGCGCTGCTTGGTGAGCCACATAGCAAACCCGTCGCCGTGCAAGTTTCCTTCGCCGTGGATCTTGAACTCGACCTCGATCTGGGTCACACGTCAGATTGTCAAGCCCTCCCCTCATAAGAAAGTCCACCACTAACCTCCCAATTCGTTGCGGTAAGAGGAACCCGAGAGAAGATCCATCCCTGCTGCGATGGTCGATCCGATGTCAGGCGAATGTACCTAGCCCAGTTAGCGCAAGGTTCTCCCCATCTCCAGCTGAGTATTGTCGGGGCTTTGGTCGCATACTTGTCAGCGCGGATGATAGTATCACCACCAAAATCGAACCAGCGGCTTTGGAAGTCCGAATCCAGGTATGGCTATGCAAAGTCAACTACGATGTTCGGATTGAAGCTCGAGCAAATGTCGAGGGGCGGGAGCGAGGACCAACCGGAGCAAGACTATGAGTTCGGAGCTGGTAGAATGCAGGTTAGCGGATCCGAGGGGCATTTGCGCATTCATGGGGAAATGGTCTTCGTACTGGAATGCTCTTGATATTCTCGTCGCCGCTGTAGGCGCTTGTTACCGGGAGGGTAGCTAAGCCAGCGAGGCACAGAAGCGAGGAAAGCCGCGGCAGCAGCATGATGGCCGATGTGATTGGATGGTGTCGGAGAAGCTGGGATAATGAACGACTGTAGTTGTTGCGAGAACGAAAAGGTCAAGCGGTAGAGAGCAGACTGCAGCTAGCGAGCAAGAATAATCAAATTCGAGACTGATCGGCGTGGGTGGGCTCAATGTCACCGGGACATCAGCGAGCTCTAGACAAGTATACTTTCTTGGAGAACAAGCTCAATAGGAGAGGGTAGCTCGGCGAGTGGCAATATGGGGGAAAAAAAATGAACGATAGTGAAGAGGGAGAAAAGGGAGTACACTGCTCAGGTTTCACTGTGTACTGCGAAGAATTGAAAGGAAGCAAGGATCCAAAGAAATGATAGACAACAAAGTATATGACAGATCCATGCCTACACCTCATCGAGTAAACATCCAAGTGTCCACTTCGCCCTGCGTGTGGCGCAGCACTCTCACGAACTGGCGGCCCGCACCAGCCACACTTTTTCCTTTATTCCGAAGATCTTGTCAGCGTCATTATCCAACGTCCTGACTTCAGTCCACATAACCCCTCAATCCACCTCACTTCCTACACTGAATTTCTTCCAGACATCCGCAAAAAGGAAATACAAACACCAAAATGGCCATCTGGGGATCCTCAAGCTCCAACACCGCGTCCTCCAGCGAAGCGGACATCAAAACCCACCTGATGAACCAAGTGCGGCAAGAAGCCGCCGTGACCAACGCCCGGAATCTGATCGGGGTACGTATAGACCTAACCTCCCACACGGCACATTGAATCAAATCCATCTGACCTATGACGGGTTTCCTCCCGCTTGTAGAAAGTCAACGAACACTGCTTCGAAGCCTGCGTCCCCAACCCGGGCACATCGCTGTCCTCCGCCGAACACACCTGTCTCTCGCAGTGCATGGAGAAGTACATCTCCTTCTGGAACGCCGTCAGCCGTGGCTACATTTCGCGTCTCGCGAACGAGAGGAAGGCTTACGGTGGTGGTGCCCTTGACCCATCGTTTATCCAATCTGGGCAGGAATCCAGCCTGTGAGCGCTAACGCATCGGAGCTTGACCTTTGTTGAGGAGGGAGTGGAATGCTGATTGTGTCTGTGATTTCGACATTACGAGGTTTCTTGGTGCTGTTTTCACCCCCTACCTTTAATGGGTTTGTGGTACTTCCAAAAGGCGTTGTTTTCTCTTGCCGTGAGCTTCAACCGGTAAGATTTTTGTACAATACAATATACAGGGTGACGGGTGGATACTATTGTGTAGAGTACTCGTTTAAATTTAAAAAAGGGGCGGCAGAGCCTCCGAGACCGGTTGACAGCCGCATCGGACGCAAGACGTCTGGTCTGTATTTGATGATATTCAGATTTGACGCCTACCTTTTCCACTTGTTCAAGACATCGAAAATATGTACATTATACAGGACTGAAGACGAAATTGACGCATATAGAAAGACAACGGATGGGGCCAAGTGTGACCTTTATCCCATTACCATAACCAACACTCACCCACTCAGGTGTGCCAGCGCGAAGAGAAGACGTAAAGAAAAGGACATGGACAGCTTTCAGGCTTCCAAGACTTCAGAAATGTATACCTCAGGCGACACACGATAACCAACGACAAGCCCGATCATCCAGGATCCAGCAGCCGACCAAAGATTCTCCAGACAAACACCACCGACATGTTCAAAGGCTAAACTTCGAACCCAATAAAAGAACGGAATATTGGACACCCTGAATTCCAAGAGATTCTCTCAGATAAGTCAATGCCGAAAGAAGGTAAGGATCAGTCCATGTGGAAGCCACGAAACTTTTTGCAGTGGTAAAATCCAATAGAGCTCCACAGGCACGCTCTGGGCATATTCGCAAGCCTGGAGCATCATGGTCGAGTCATGAGAGAGACTAAAGTCGTAGACAAGCACGACCTTTCAAGAGAAGATAGTACTGAACAGAGCGAAGTTTTTAATTCGAGCCTAAAGTAGTGGCTAGTCCATTTGGATCGTGGGTATCCCCAGTCCAAGATTGGTAAAGTGCAAAGTTCATTGCCCTATCAAAGGTCGTATATTGGGCTAAAAGTCGGGGAAAAGGTGACCATGCCTGTAGCAAGAGTTCCAATTAGTACCCAGATCTAAAATGGTTCGCAACCGGGACACATACACATCATCGCCCTGCTGGCCGTATTGTTCAGTCTCCTCGGGATACCGATCGTATTGACTGGCATCACCCTGACCTCCACGGATAGGGGGTACATAAGGAGCATCAATATCCTTTCTTGCAAGACGATCCCAGGTGACTTCCGCGAACCAAGGGTGGTTCTTCACATCTTCAGAACCTCCATGAAGGTTGCCCAGTCGCTTGGTCAAGTCCGCTGTGATGAGCTGCGAGAGTAAGTCGACAGCGTCCGGGTGAAGGTAGGGCGGGTACTTGACACGACCCCGGAGAATGTTCTCGTAAATCTTGACAGGCGAGCCGCTGTCCCAGAAGGGCGTGAAGCCACACAGCATTTCGAAGATAAGGATTCCAAGTGACCACCTTGGCTCTAGTCAGCCAATGGAAGCGTAGAGCTCATTGAGGGAAATGCCTACCAATCAACCGATTTGTTATATCCCTTAGACGAAACTACTTCGGGAGCAAGATAATCGGGTGTTCCGCAAAGTGTCCAGGTGATGTCAGGCACCTCCTTCGCGAACCCAAAGTCGGTGATCTTCAAGTGACCGTGCCGGTCAAGTAGCAGATTCTCTGGCTTCAGGTCTCGGTAAATAATCTGCTGAGAGTGTAGATACTCCAGTGCAAGAGTAACCTCGGCCGCATAGAACTTGGCGACAGGGTTAGGGAACCGCTGCGATGGGCCCATGACATCAGCCTACTGGAACTTGCATTGATACGGAGGGACGCAGAGAGCACTCACCTGGGATTTGCGAAGTAAACTGAAAAGCTCTCCACCCTCCACAAAATCCATCACCATATACAGATTCCTTGCGTCTTGCCAGGTACCCCACAATGTGATCAAGAATGGATGTCTGACGCGATTGAGCATTCGTCGCTCGTCATTTGTATGCTCGACCTGTTTCATCTTGACCACCTGCGCCTTCTTCAGGACCTTGATTGCGTAGAATCGATGATTATGTTTCGACTGCACCAAATGGACACGACCGAAACTACCCGTACCTAATGTACGTTGGATAGTGAAATCGTCAAGGGAATATTTCCCTTTTGTAGTGCGGGCGCTGGCCTGCTGGGAGTTCGCATGACCTTCGGCAGAAGCCTGTGAAGATCCATGATGATGAGAGGGGTGAAGTATATTGTGTAACTTGGAGGTATGGGTGTGTTGTTGTTGTTGTTGTTGTTGTTGTGGCTGTTGCTGCTGGTGTTGTTGTAGGTGGTGGAGGCCCGGGTTG